ACCTCTCCATGAATTAAAAGAGTGCGAGTTGTTTCAATAAGATGTCTATTTTTGCGTTCAGTTACACCATTTTGTTGAGGTGTATAAGTACAAGAAGTTTGATGGAGGATACCGTGAGAAGCCATGAATTGTTTAAAAGAATGAGAAAGATATTCACGACCATTATCACTGCGCAAAACTCTAATAGAAACACCGAACTGAGTTTGAATTTCATTGAAAAAAGTTTGAAAGATATGAAATAGTTCAGAACGATTCTTCATCAAAAATAACCAAGTGCATCTAGAATAATCATCAATGAAAGTAACAAAGTATTGAAAACCTAAAGTAGACTTAATGCGGCTAGGTCCCCAAATGTCAGAGTGAACCACGGCAAAAAAGGATGAAGCACCGCATGTGACACTACGAGGAAAGGAAGTACGACTATGCTTTCCTAATTGACACAACTCACACGCCAAACTAGACAAGTTAGACAAGACAGGGACAAGTTTCTGTAACTTGGCAAGACTTGGATGACCTAACTGAGCATGAAGAAGAGAGAGAGACTCCATAACTGCACTAACATGTGTAAAGGGATGGAGATGATAAAGACCATGAGACTTATATCCTGTACCAATCACCTATTTCGAACTCCAGTCCTATAAACACACAGAATTGTTGGTAAAAAAAACAACACAATCAAGAGAACGAGTTAGATGACTGATGGACAACAGGTTAAAAGGAGACTCAGGGACATAAAGAACATTATCAATGGTTAAAGAAGGGAAAAGTTTAACAGTTCCAACACCATGAGATGATACTCTAGAGTCATCAGCTAGTGTAACAAAAGGTAAAAGATTAGAAGAGGATAAAGAGGAGAACAAAGATTTGTTACCAGTAATATGATTAGTGGCTCCTGAATCAAAAACCCAAGGACTAGGAGAAGAGGATTAACTCAAACTAGCAAAATATGTATCTGTGTGTGTGAAAAACGTAGTGTTACTAGAAGATTGTTGATCCTTATACCATTTGAGAAATTTGTTGAACATAGCAGGTGTGTCGGATGCAACAGAAGAAGGAGGATCCTCAGCAGACAAAGGTGGGGAAAGATTGGTCTGAACAACTGCAACAAATCAAGGAGGACGAACATGTAATGCATAACACTTGTTAATCTTGTGACCTAGCTTGCCACAATGTTCACACTTAGGATGTGTTTTTCCCTATTTGTGAGGGCGAGTCCGGTCATCACGGTTAGATGCCAACACAGAAGAATCATTAACAGAATTGGAAGTAGTATAAGAAGTGGAAGAAGTCATGAAGGGTAGGAGAACAAACCCTAAAAAAATTCAAAGTAATCCAATCAACCCACGAAGCACAAATCCAAAACGAGAAGACCAAAACAAGTTCGTCGAGACTAAACGACGTAAGAGACAACAGATGACCAACTCCAATAGTGGTGATCTCAATGACACGGTGATCACCTTATAGAAATGAACAAAACCGTATGTCCCCGTTCAAAAATGAAACTCCGGTGACTGCTCCGATGGCGACGGTAGTGACAGTAGCGTGAACCAGTACACCAAGTAAGTTCCCAGGAAAGAGAGATGGGTCACTAATGGACACGCTTAAATACCAAGTTTTTCCTTGTTAGAACCTTCCTAGACATGCAATTTCACACTACCAAATAATATCAAGTAACAAAAATAACTATTTTCTGATGTGGAAGATTAGTTTAACCGGCAGCAGCGACGGTGGCAACTTCAGCAGTGGATAATGGCGAAAAAATTTCAAAATAATCTTAAGTTCTAGATACCATGTTGAATATAGAGGAAATAGGGTTTGAGATTAATCTCCTTGTGTATAAATCACACATAGGGTAATCTATTTATAATAGGGAGAGATACAACTAAAAGAGTAACCGAAAGTAAACAAAATAAACAGAAGATATTGTTTGATATTATGGTTAATAATATCTAACAATACCTAACAATATCTTAACAATATCTAAACATTATTTAAACAATATCTAACAGATGTCAACAAAAATCTGATCTTGAGGAGTAAGCTCTCCAAGAATAGAATGTTTCAAGTCAACATGAGGGTTGTTGATATACAATGCTTTTTTGATATGAAGAGTGATAATGATAACTGGTTGTGACACTCAAGATATGACCACTTAAATTTCAAGAGTCTACAACAACTTGGTGTGAAGAATATGGTTTCTGGAATGCCCAATATTACACTGCCAGAGAGTGTGTGTGAGGTCTGTTTGGTTGAAAAACAAACCAGAAAACCATTTCAAGCGCATTTGAGCATGAGATCCAAAGACTGCTTAGAAATTGTGTAGTTTGATATACATGGACCTTTTGAGGTTCCTTCATTGGCTGGAAACAGGTATTTATTACCTTTATGGATGAGTTTAGTAGGATGATATGGTTATGTGATCAAATTAAAGAGTGAAGCATTTGAGACTTTCATGATGTTCAAAGCATGTGTAGAGAGAGAAAGTGAAAAACGGTTGAAGACTCTAAGAATAGAGGAAGGAGACGAATTCAACTCTAATGCCTTTCAGAATTATTGTCAGACCAGTGGCATTATGCATGAAGTCACTGCACCATATACACCTTAACATAATAGCCTTGCGAAGAGAAGAAATAGGACAATTTTGAACATGGCTAGAAGTTTAACTAAGGAAAAAGGCTTGCCACAAAAATTTTGGGGTGAAGCAGTATCAACAGTTGTTTATATCCTGAATAGAAGTCCTACAAAGAACCTAGAATGAAAGGTATGATTGGAAGTTTGGTCTAGAGTAAAGTCAAAAGTTGGTCACTATAGGGTTTTCAGGTCACTAGCTTTTAAGCATATACCTGATCAGAGGAGAACCAAACTCCAAGATAAAATTGAAGCAATGGTATTCATTGGCTATTATCCTACTAGACCTTATAAGCTCTTTGATCCAGTCAAAGAAAAGGTAGTAATGAGTAGAGATGTTCTGGTGTTAGAACATGAGAGTTGGGACTGGAAACAAATGCAGACCAGTCTAAAGAAAAATGTGAGAAATGGTGTTGTTGATAGCTATATATTGACAGAACTAGAGGAAGCTGTTGGGAGTGATGTTGCACCACATAATTTTTTGTCTCAAAGACCACAAAGGGAGAGAGTAATGCCACACAGATTCTCTGATTTTTAGATGCACTTTGATGGACAAGTTAATGATGAGGGAGATTTGGTTCACATGGCACTAATGGCAGGAGCAAAACCTATTGATGAGAATGAAGCCTTAAAACATTCAATTTGGAGAAATGTAATGCATGAGGAACTTAGATCCATTGAGAAGAATGAAATATGAAAATTAGTTAACCTATCAACTAGGAATCATTAAGTTAGAGTGAAGTGGGTTTTTAAGGTTTGTGGCAAAAGACTTTCTTCAGTGACAAGGACTAGACTTTTCTGAAGTCTTTGCACCAGTGGCTCGGATAGAAACCATTTGGTTGATTATAGTTGTGGCTTGTGTAAAGAATTGACCACTATTTCAGCTTGGTGTAAAATCAGTTTTTCTACATGGATCTTTGAAGGAGGTGTATGTCCAACAACCTCCTGGATTTGTTGTGAAAGGAAAAGAACATCAAGTTTATAGACTGAGGAAAACTCTATACGAGTTGAGGCAAACTCCAAAAGCTTGGAATAGAAGATTGACTCCTTCTTACTCAATTTCAAGTTTACAAAGTGTATTGTTGAACATGGTGTGTATGTGAAGAAAGGCACGTGAGAAGACCTGCTGATAATTTGTCTCTATGTTGATGATCTACTTGTGAAGACCTGCTGATAATTTGTCTCTATGTTGATGATCTACTTGTGACTGGATCAAACCTAAAAGACATTGAATACTTCAAGAAGACAATGGAGGCTGAATTTGAGATGACAAATCTAGGAAAATTGAGATATTTCCTAGGCATGGAGTTCACTTACACTGCTGCAGGGTTGGTAATGCATCAGAAGAAATATGTTAGAGAATTTTTTAGGAGATTCAACATGATTTTATGTAATGCAACAATGAGTTCTATTGAGGTTAATTTGAAATAAAAAAAGAATGAATCTGGAGAGACTGTAGACGAGACTATCTTCAAGCAAATCATTGGATCTCTACTGTATCTTTGTAACAGCAGGCCAAATTTATCATTCAGTGTAGGACTGGTGAGCAGATTCATGGGTAATCCGAAGAAGTCTCATATGCTAGCTGCCAAGAGATTGTTAAGATACAGACACAGCAGATTATGGAGTGTTATTTCCTATTGGGAGATAGAAATCAGAGTTAGAGTTGACTGGATTTACTAACCCTAATTATTGTGGTGATATAGTGGAGAGAAAGAGCACCTCTAGATATGTTTTCCTACTAAATAATACTCTTGTTTCCTGGTGTTCCAAGAAACAGCCGGTAATAGCTCTATCCAATTGTGAAGTAGAGTATATAGCTAGAAGTTATGCAGCATGTCAAGAAGTTTGGCTTGAGGAATTACTGAGAGAGATGAAGATCCTTGTGAAGACATCAATGCAACTGAAGATAGATAATGTTTCTGCTATAAACTTATTAAGAAATCCAGTGATTCATGGCAGAAGCAAATATATAGAAGTGAAGTATCACTTCCTTAGAGATTTGATGAATAAGGGAAGAATTGCAGTGGTTACTACAAAACTGAGATGCAATTGGTTGATGTTTTCACAAAATCCTTGAAGAATGATAGATTTGAATATTTGAGAAAGAGAGTTGGAGTTGTATCTCAAGTATTTAAGAGAGAGTATTAGTGTTTGTAATACATTGAATAAGTCAATTTAGTTAGTTAGTTTCTATTTTAACATAACCTTGTCTCATGTACATTTATATAAACTACATTGATAATGCAATAAAGAAGAAATTATACAACACATATTTCTCTTGCCTTTCATTCACGTTAGTTCCAATACCCACACAGGTAAGCATGTTTGGCCACCAAATCCATTACTCTCATAGTAATGATCATAAACTTCTATACGAAGTAGGCCAGTTCTGGAACAGAAAGTGGGTATTCAAACACCTCATTCCATGAAGGTGACCAATCGTCTTCGACTGTCTTAGTTATTTTCATAACAGTATCATGAGTAACACAAGCAATTCCCATGATACACGAAAGAAAAGAGATAGGAGTTGGACACGCAGCAGTACTATCAATTTATAGAATCTGTTACATTTGTTACATTTATATTTTGAAGAAGGGGATTGGTTAGTTAATTAGAGATTGGTTATATAAGGCAAATTGTAAATAGTTATTGGTGTGATTCACATAAAACAAATTCTTCTCTCTAACTCATTGTTTTCTCGAATAACAAAATTGGATCGGAATTCTTTCTTTTCTCATGAATTCCCTTCTTTTTCATTGATGTTCTTTGATTGCTTGTCTTTTCTAGTTCATCCTTATCACCCCACCTGTATAAGAGTTTGTTAAACAACAATCACACCCTATACCATATACAATAAAATAACTGCCAGGAAGCAAATATGAAGAGGAAATGTGGTGCTATATCAATGGAACATACTGATCTGGTAGATTATCTTAACATACTTTTGTGAACAAGTTAGGGGGTAAGAATTCATCGAAGAGCGTGTGACTGTGATCGTAAATCCATCCTTTCCCCATATATATAGCCACCTAAGTAAGAGTAAGAAAAGTATTGCAAGCTTTGTGAAAAATCTAGAAGAAACACTTAAAAGAAGAATAGCACTCAAATCTATAGGCAGTAAATCCTTCACCTTTAAAGTAGTCTTCACCATATGAGCTCTAGGATCAAAGATCTCATTATTTGGACCAACATGTAAAAGAAAATCTGGTTTTATAACATGACCACATTCACCATTGGCTTTGAACATTCCATGCATCAACCAACGAAATATCCCATATCCCATATCCCTGTAATGTAATAGAACCACCCACAATGTAAACTGATTAGTCTACATCTTTCATTGTCTCGATATTATTATTATTATTATTATTCAATAAGAATACACGATGTTAGATGTATGTAAAGTAAATCTTTGACAATAACATATCATCGTTAAAATTTTGAGTATCATCGCATGTTTCTCTCACTCAAAAAATCATAAACAAAACTGAAATGGAAAAGGAGGAAAATGAAGAGGTGAAACCTGCATGTTAAATGCAACCATCTGAGCTCCATGCATCCACCCGATCAATGGGTTATAATTTGATGAGGTAATACGAGCACCTTTTGGATACACTCTCAGTAAATTCTGCAGAGTAAACCTGCCAACAACCAATAAATAAATATTTCTCTTCTCGTTTGCAAATAACCAAAACATCCTGCCTAAGGATTGTTTAGGATGTAAAAGGCCTCTTGCAGGAAACTTGTTTTGTGATTGAAATTTGTCAGAACTTCAACAGGGTAGGATTTGATTTTTCTTGACGATAAGTGTAAAACACTAATCTCCAAAATACGAGTAAAAGACATGGTGAGAAGAGAGCTTGATGAATTCTTGCTCAGCAGATGGTATTTTTTCTCCTAATGGTTCGAGACAAATGAAGTTGCTATTTTGCTCATATTGATAAATGGTTCGATGAATCATGAAGTAAATCGAACTTTGAATTGAATTGATCAATTACACTTGCGCTTGTGCTGAAATTTCTCAACCTTTTTCTTTAAATTGTTTTCTTTAGGACAAACAGAAACTCAGTTATTTAAGTGGTCAGCACTTAAGTTGTGAACCATCAAATGGGCTGGTAAATTATGGTCAAGATATATCTTACCTATGAAATCGTAAAAGATATAATATAATTGTCATCTTCTCTAGATTTGTATCATAAATAAAGTCATAGTTGAGGGAGTCCAAGCTCATGCAAATGAGTCAATTAGTCATTATCTCTTTAAGCTCTAACTGGAAACAGATAAAAAACAATACCTGACAATTTCATTTCCATGAGTTATAACTTCCATTTTCAGTTCTTGCTCACTTAAACTTAGACATTTCACTTTATTACGATCAACTTCGACACATTTTCCTGATTCACCTTTAGGCTTCCCATCATGAATGCCGATTAAACTTTCATATAAATTATATGATTCGAATTCTTCAATTTCTTTGTCACTGTCAACATTTCCAATGTTCTGCAAAATATGGTAAACCAGTAAACGAATCAATCAATCTCTTCCTTAAAAATAATTAAATGTTGTAGCAATTAGTGTACAACATTGACTTAGTAGTCCCATGCCTGTGCTTCATCATCTATAACATTTCCTTCTTCTGATTCTTTCTCTTTTTCCTGTACTTCTTTGTACTCAAAAGACTTCATATTGGTTGATATAATAATCCTCCTTGTAAATGATTCGTGAGAAGGATATTCCTTCATGTTTTCTGGGCTAGGATAAAATAGTTGGTCTCCAAATATCTGAAGAAGCATCTAAAAATTTGAAAAGAATTATGTCAACTAAAAGAGTATAAGCATTTTGAATTTGTGTAGAGAACTTGAACTCGGTAACCAGAGCCGCTGTGGCCTGAAGATTGGGAGAAAGTTGGTCCTCTAATCTTATTACAACTGGATATTTTGAGGCAACAAAGGCATTCTGCTTTATAGACCTTAAACATTTTATCAGCGCTACTGAAGATGCAACATTCCTACACACAAAAATAATATTTTATTTATTTCAATCTCTCATTTTCACATAACTTTCTAAATTGAATTTTAATATTTTTTAAAATAAATTAATTATAATTAAAATAACCCTGTATCACAATATAAATTTATCATAAATATAAAATATAATTTTTAAAAGTTTAGATGTATCTATGAAACAATTTTGATAGTCAACAAGTTGAGTTTATAATTTACTACTGCAGGTTCCAAATTAACTATGCGCAGTAACAAATCTCACCCTTAAAATTGATTGAACTAAATTCATGCAGATTTTAACTACTGTGATAATTTTGATCCGAAGTCTTCATTGTTGGAAATACTATTTCCTTTACAAATTTTTTTTTTCTGGGTGTAGGCAATGAAAGCTTACAAAATCACGAGACCACGTCAGAGTATTAACTGATAACGGAAGTGGATAAAATAACTTCTGAAACGGATAAAACTGATTTCTTTGAGACAAAACTTGAGAGACTCAACTTCATGTTAAAAGTAAGTCAGCAACAAGGACCCAGTAAACTCACCCTTCATTATGAACAACCATATCATTATTTGATGGATTAGGCAATAAATCTAATTCACTCATCCTAAGTGTTAGGCTCTTGACAAGCGTACCAATAGTTAATTGTAGTATAATGATTTTTTTTTAGTGAAAGTGTCGATCCGACGATGAACAGGTTCAATTAAAACAAATAGTTTATCTCAAGTAGCATATATACAAGGATATCCATTTGATTCATGATTGATAGTAATGATTTATACTAAATTTGCATAAAAATAATATAATAGCAGTAGATTTATTAGAAAAGATTCAAAAACAGAAGTTAGGATTCAATTTCATCTATCTTACTCTTCTGTAATCTAGATGAATATAAACATATATCATCTGAATTTACCAATATAGATGCAACACACAATAATCATTTATACTGATTCATCACGTATAAAATTCATAAGACTAGTTCCCTGGATATCGATTCCTCACATATCCAACAAACTGTCCAGCATTCTTTTCAAGTGTTAAAAGCAATTGATATACAGAAATTTATTCCTAACATCACAATAAATCAAGTATTTCTTTTCAGAAATACTTTCCAGTCACATCTAAAAATCACATTCACAAATCTATTGATCAAATAGAATAAAGCATTAAGAGCAAAACAAAAATACCAATATTAAATAGAAACAGAAAAACTATATATAGATATCATTAGATTTCATCCGAGTTCGAATTGATTACATTCAATCCCAAAAGAAAAAATTAGTCGCTCATGGTAGCCATTTACATCCTAAGAGAAGAAGAAAAAACCCTAAAGCTAAAAATGTAGAAGAATTTTCCCTAATCTTGTCAAAATCAGCGCCCCCTTTTTTTCGTCCTCTCACATTCTAAACCACAAAGTATATATATTGCACGAGTTCTCACTTAAGCTAAATTATTCTCGCTTAAGCTAGAATGACTTTCGAATTGATCGCTCTCAGAACAAATCTCACTCAAGCAAGATAATTTCCGCTTGGACGAGAATGGCTTTCAAATTAATCGCTTTATAAACGAATCTCACTTGAGCGAGTTGTGGTAGGATTTCATGTCTTTTTTCTCTGTTTTTTCCTTTCTTCTTCTTCTTTTAAGCATCTTTCTCCTTCTCTCTTAATTTACCTGAAACATATACAAAATGAGGATCAAATGATTTTCTTTTTAATTAAAACTCGGAAACATATGATTATATTTCATCATTCTTAAATTAGGGAAAATTGATATCAAATATACACAAGTTGAAACAACAGTGTCATCATTCCATATGAAAATTTACTACTTTTTGACACTTATCAACTCCCCCCAACCTAGCCTCTTGCTTACCCTCAAGCAAAGTAATAAGATCACAAACAGCTTTTCAAAATTCAAACTTTAAATTTGGTTATTGAGAAATCATTTTCATAGCTCCTCCAAGACGTCTTTGCATTCCAAACTACAGATTCAAAATCAGAAGCAACTGATGAATCCAATTGCCAAATAGAAACAAGATAAAAGTGCAGCAAATGTTTCAAGACAAGCAATTGTACGAACCATTGATTCTAACTAAGGAAATTCTCTCTTAAATCTCACAAGTATGTGTTTCTCTCATTTTCCACTGAAATTGAACAAAATAAAATTGTCAGTCATTTTCAATTAAACCACAAACACACAATAAACATGAATCTTAAGGTCTTTTAAGGGTTGTAATGAGGTTGGACTTCAAAGAATTATGGTTTTTCAGATAACAAAAGCACAACTTAAGAAAAGAGAGCATAACCACAATTTAGACCCACTTCCATTTCTACTCTCAATTCATCACACCTCATACCTCAAACACAATATTCTTTCTTTTTCATTCATAATTCACTCCCTCTTCTCTTTCTTTCTTCCTTTTTTTTTTTTGAATACTTTCATGTATATACATTTCTATATAATACTAAGGAATGAATTTATAGTACAAAATACTTAGCCCCTTTCTTTCCTCAGTACAATTCCACCAACCAATTTTCATTTGACAATTAAATAAAATGCACCTATGCTCTCTATCCCTAAGTGTGCAAAGGGGAAGGATAATAATTAAAGTTAGGGTTAGGGTACATAATTCAAAACAATTAGGCTCAAATGGGTTATCACAAAAGGATGATTATTTCTAGACAGAATATTTGGCAATGAGTTATTTACATTAAACAAAATTGCCTTAATCATCTCCATGCTTCTAGTGTAATGTTCTCCGAATGAAAACTCAAGCAATATTAACTTGACAACAAACAGTGCAAACTCTCAAGCTGTTTATGGATTCACACACTCACTGGGTTTTCTGGTTTCTTTCCTTGGAATATCACTTGTTGTTACAATTGATTATCTTGACCAATTATCCTCATTTTTCGTTGTGCTCAGTTTACTCGGTTGTTCTAATTTAGGACACTTACTGAAACTTGATTTTTCTTTAACCAATTTCCTCAAGAAATATTTTCTAAAGATTCCCAAAAAAATGTGTTGTCTATGTATTATGTGCAAAATATTAAGCAAAAAATAAAGTAAGCAAAAAGTAAAGTTAAACATTTAATTTTAACTAATTAGATAAGGTAGCAACATTCTAACAAAAACAACTAAAGCAGAATATTAGTAAATACAAAAGTTCTGCAGTACTTTAAAACAAAAAAAATAAAACCATATTTCATAGAGTTTTGGAGGGTGGAATGGTGCTGCGAATCAATCTCCCCTCATCACTCTGTCAAAATCAGTATGAAACTCCTATTCCTGAAGGTCCACTCCAACTGTTTCTTCCCCAGTAGCAAGATCATCTCTATCCGCAACTCTTGACGAATCCAGCTGCAAAACAACTACTATCAGGTCCACTCCCCCCTGAAAAAATTGGATTATCCCCAAGCCACTTGAAGGGTAAATGGCTAAGAGAGGAAGATATTGATGAGTTAATGGAGAGAATTGGGTGAGGAATCACGCGCCCTAAAATTTTGGGAAAAAATGCACTGTGCTTGAGTGTTTGGGGGAGAAAGTGGGTGTGAAAACGCTTTCCCCCTTTTTCAAATATAAATTCAGTTTTTTTTTTAATAACTTTCACCCAGGCGAACAACATTAGCTTAAGCAAAAATATTCCAGAGAGTACCTCAATTTTTAGCTCAATTCTTGCTCAGGCGAAACAATTTTAGCTTAAGCCAAAATATTCCAGAGAGCACCTTAATTTTTAGCTCAATTCTCAATCAGGCGAGGCTATCTTCGCTTAAGCGAAAATATCAGCAAAATTGGTCATTTCGTTTTCTGCAGATTCTTAAAAACAAAATTTTTGTCACTTTAGAAAAATATGTTCAACTTCCACTCATTCAAATCATGTTGAATTCAGTCCAATTAACCCAAAACACATATCAAGTTATTCCTCAACCAATTTTCTATCATTCCAAAATGTTTCACATCATCAAACTCAAAATTAAGGTCTCAAACTCCAATTTCACAATTTGACCAAAACACGATAATTGTCGACATTCAATGAACTCAATTTTGGCACCAAAACTTATTCTCATGCATAAAAAATAAACTTTGATTGAAAATTCCTGAGCATGCATGGTTTGCTCTATTGAGACACTTAAATGCTAAAACTCACCCTTTTGCACACAAACACATTTAACACACACAAGGTAAAACTAAAATGCAAAAACATAATTAAATTTTTGGTTGCCTCTCAAGAAATGCTTGTTTAACGTCACGAGCCTAACGCCTATATCATTATGGTTCGTCCAATTGGATGATTGTGGCAAGTTTATCAACCTTACCACCAAAGTAGGGCTTCGATCTTTGCGCATTTATAACCCAACTTCTTTTTTATTCAGGATCCTCTAACTCAATAGCTCCATAAGGTTTAACAACCTTGACAAGAAACGGTCCTAACCATTTTTATTTTAGTTTTCCAGGAAATAGCCTTAGCCTGGAATTAAACAGTAACACTGATTGGCATGGATAAAATTCTCTCTTGAGAATTTTCTTGTCATGATACACTTTCATCTTTTCCTTGTAGAGCTTAGAGGACTCATAAGCATTGAGTCTCATTTCTTCCAATTCTTGCAACTGTAATCTTCTTTTCTCTCCTGCTGCTTTTGAGTCAAAATAAAAAAAATTTCAAGGCCCAGAATGCCTTGTGCTCTAACTTGACCGGTAAGTGACATGACTTACCATATACCAGCTGAAATGGGGATAGGCCCGTAGGGGATTTATAAGCAGTTATATAGGCCCACAGTGCGTCATCCAACTTCATTGATCAATCCTTTCTTAAAGATGCCATTGTTTGCTTTAGAATATGCTTGATTTCCCTGTTTAACACCTTTGTTTGTCCATTGGTCTGTGGATGATAAGGTGATGCAATTTTATGCCGAACTCCATAATGCTCCAAACATTTCTAAAGTTGAGCATTGCAAAAGTGTGAACCTCCATTACTAATCAACACTCTTGGGGTACCAAACCTGTAGAAAATATTTCTTTTAAGAAATTTGATGACTGTTTTGGCATCAGCCTTAAAAGTTGCCACTGCTTCAACTCATTTCGTCACATAATCAACTACTACCATAATATATTCATTGGAGAAAGATGGTAGTGGTCCTACAAAATTGATTCCCCAACAATCAAAAGCTTCAACTTCCAAAATAATATTCAAAGGCATTTCATATCTTTTTGAGATTCCCCTATCCTTTTACAATTATTACATTGTTGAACATATTTGTGTGTGTCTTTGAATAAGGAAGGCCAATAAAAATCATATTGGAGGACCTTTACAATTGTCCTCTCTCCATTAAAATGTCCACCATAAGAGGAACTGTGACAATGCCACAAAATACTTTTTGCTTCTTCATTAGACACACACCTTAACAGTTGATCAGCTCCAATTTTGAATAAATGAGGATCATCCCATACATATTGTTGTGCGTCTCTCAGGAATTTCTTCTTCTAGTGCCAATTGAAATCTTCAGGTATGACCCCTGCAGCTTTGAAATTGGTCATGTCAGCAAACCATGACCTTTCTTGCACCATCATTAGTTTTTCATCAGGAAACTCCTCCTGCACCTCTGATTGAGTGTTGGTTACCTCAATATTCACCAATCTGGACAGATGATCAGCTACAAAGTTTTTACTTCCTTTTTTATCTTTAATCACCAAATCAAATTCTTTTGTCAATTGTTTCCTGGCTGATAGAAAATTTTCATCTATCACATCCATTTTGAAACATTGTTGTTTGTCTATAGGGTGCTTAATTGTTTCAAAAACATTAAAATTGACTTCATCATCTTGCACTCTGACCTTTAGTTTGTCATCATCAACATCAATAATGACCTTGGCAATCTTCATAAAAGGTCTTCCTAGTATGAGAGAAACTTCAACATCTTCCTCAATATCCATCACCACAAAATCAAATGGGAACATGAATTTATCAACCTTAATCAAAACATCCTCTGTCACACCATAGGGATATTTCATTAGGGATGGCAAAAAGGGCTAGGTCCGGCGGGAAAAAATATCTCTGTATTTGGTATGGACATTTAAAGTCGCTTGTGATGTCTTGAAGATGCACTGTCACGATCCAATTTTACGGCCGCGATCATACCAGATATGTAATATGCCGGCAAAAGAAAATGTGACGTGATGTTTTCTTTGAGGAAGAAAACGAAATATAATTGAGAATCCCAAAGGCATGTCCGCTCTAAACCTTTATCTTAAAAATACTGGCAAGACGTTGGAACTTGAGTTTTAGCAATCAGACTGGTACTAGATCAATGTTTAGGATCACTACAGTAACCACATTAATGTTAGAAGAGCAAATCAGTAGTGCATCTTAAAAGAGTGACTCAAATATTTAGTTGTACCATGGAGTGCTTCACTCTCGAGGAAAACAAATGTCTCAAGCAAAGGTGGTATGCACCATGTTGTGTGGCTATGATGGAACACCTCCATCACCATAGATTCATGGATTAGTTTTTTTCATTTGGTGTATGGTATAACATTAGGGCTTATATTATGGCTTTTTGGTCTAAGGCAATGTTTTAAATTGTGATCGTAGTTTGATATTGATCCTTATATTACCCAATCATGGTAAATGTGATCATAATTGTCGTCACGATAAAAGTGCCCACAGTTCAGAAAATCTTGACATTGTGGCTGCAATAGTGGTTGCAACCAGCAATTTAGAAAATCTCATCTCAGATCAGTAAATACCATAAACTTGTTTGCTGTAAGTATGATCTAAGGGACCCCTGTGACAATAATGGAAGTTCTAATACTGCTTTGTATTGATGTTGATGATGCAGAAAACATGACATAGTAAAGCCAAAAATACAATTGCAAGCAAGCAGCTGATGATAAAGATAATTATCATTTCAATGACCTCATATCTATTACATAAGATTATTATTATAAGGGTGGTCCTAAAATTAGAAACCGCATTAAAAGCTTCACAGATTTAAATTTGTCACCCTTCTCATCATACAGAGGGACAGATCGGATTCCAGTTTTCAGCTCTGAGACTGGCAAACACGTCTGTCCACCAAAGTCATCCTTTTGATGCGTATCATTTTCTCGAACTTCTATGCGGAGCAAAGCCAGCTCTGGAACAGTTAAAGGGAAATCAAACTCTTCGTCCCAGACAGGAAACCAATTATTTGAAATTACACTTGTTTTCTTCTTGGCCATGTCAGCAGGAACTCCGACGGTACAAACCTGTGTATGAATTGATCAAATGTTTAGGACATGGACAATGAACTCATATCTCTCTTCCATCAGAATTGTAGTCATGACCAACCAAAAACTTCTACAAAGTAGCCTTATCAGAAGTATAGAAAATCCTTTAAATAGGGTCAAATGAAGTTGTACGGGAAGTTAAAAACAATCAGTTAAAGGATTTATAACCAATATTGAAGCATATTCTAGCATCAACAAAAGTTCAACTATGTCCATTGGGATATTCGTACTTCCTAATCTGCAATATTAACATAATTACCCAACTCACCTTAACGTAAAAGTCTGGTGGTGAGTAAGTATCAAAGTCCGTTGGGGTGAAATCTAAGCTCCAACCATTCCCCATGTAGACTTTCACCTACAGGCAGAGGAAGATTTTCAGAATCAGAAGATGTCACCAAACTAACTGATTTCCTTTTCAATATAATATCTCACCTTTAATGTTATCTTCACTGGCAATGTTATTTTAGGATCAAAAACCTCATCATTTAGACCTTTTTGCATTAGTAATTTAGGCTTTTTCACATAACCACAGCCTCCATTTGTTCTAAACATTCCTTGCATGTACCAAAGTGATTTGCCATACCCCTAATAATGGCAACAGCATATTAGCAGGTCAGTATTGTTTAAGATTAAGCTTAGAAATAATGTGCATGGACGCACATAACTTATTCTATTTCAATATGCATGTAAGATTGCTTCACAATAAAAAATAGTCCAAAGATCTAACATTGGTCCACTAGTATCATGGTTAAAAGTTCACATACACTAAGAGATACATAATAAGGAAATATTTCATGAAAACACATACTACTCCTTTTCATTTGGAAAGAGAAAAAAAAATAAAAAGAAAAAATAATAGATTTATATGGAGATATGATGTGATAAAAATTGAGACAATAAAGAGGTATGTAATAGGTGTATGTTAAAATTAAGTATATGTATCTCACCTATGTAATAAATACCATGGGTAATACGGATAAAATTAAATAGAGTGGATAACCCCTTAAGAAAAAGGTAGTGATTTGTTCACAATCAATAATCACTTGTATCTCAAACAAACATCGTTTTTCTTAAAAAAAGCGCACGGTGATCATTAATCTCAAACCTGCATGTTAAACGCTACCATCTGAGCTCCGTATGTCCACCCTATGTGTGGTTTGTAATTTGAGGAGTCGAAACGCGTTCCCTTTGGGTACACTCTGATAAAATTGTTCTGCGTAAACCTGAAAAGAGGCGTAACAGTATGTCGTATAGTTAGGACATTTTGAACAAGCATAGTTTATAAACATTTGTATTTGCCAGTACCAAGTTCCACTGTTAGAAAACTACCTAACAATATCAGCTCCATAAGATTCAGAAGCCTTTTCAAGTGCTTGTTCACTCAAGCTTATGCGCCTAACTTTACCAGCAGCTTTTAATTCATCCTGTATGTTACCCTTCGGTTTCCCAGCATGGATTGTAATCAAGCGTTTGTACTCAGTTGCACTCTGCTAGAGTGATTTTTTATCATGTAATATGCATTCAAATCTTCCTCAGTTAGGAGGTAAAGGATGGCATAAATATGCAGAGCATATAAAATTATATAAATCTAATGCTACTTGAGCATATAACATAGCTCAAGTGCTCGGAAACATAGGATTTTGTTAGAAGGTCAGAAGTCACAATTGGATTTAGGAAAAAACTATAAATCAATTTTTGTCAATATACTCACCTTATCATCAATTTCTGGTTCATTAGTATTGTCTGGCAATGAGGAACCCTCGTCAGCTGATTTCTTTTCATTGGATTCAATAAATTCTTTTGGTGGTTTGGTTGATATAAGAATTCGACCTTTCAATGATTCTGGTGAGGGGAATTCCATCAGAGAATCTGTCGGAGGGTAAAAAAGCAATTCTCCAAATACTTGATTGACCATCTACGTATAAGAAGATGGAAACTCACATTCAACACCTAATAAAATAGGGATGTGAAGTAAATGCTTTGGTGGACGGGGGGACAAAAAGGAGTCTTACCACTGCAACTTTAGCTTGAAGATCTGGAGTAAGGTGATCTTCCAAAGTTATAATGAGGGGGTACTGAGATTTAACAAAAGCATACTCTTTTATGGACTTCAAACATTGGAGGAGTGAGATAGGAGCGGTAAGAGTTCTGCAATAATTCAGAAGAACGTCCATAAGTAGTTTTACAAGGTTGCACGATAAATTTCTCAAAAAACTACGAATATCAAAATATTTGAGGAGGAAAATCAATTGAACTGAGGTTCAGTTAGCACCTTCCATGAACTACATCGATATCATCTTTGTCTGAATTTGGCCATAAATCTAGTTCAATAACTCGCACACCTCGTTGCAAAGCCTTTATGATTGGCACATCACTGCAGTCACTGCTCAGTTGATTCCCGGTCAGATAGGAATTATGCCCGGTGAATATGAAATAATGTGACAATGGAGCATTCATATCATGATGTACCTGGAATAAGACATCAATCATTCGTATTGTCAAAAAGAGACCTAACTTTGTTCGGTTGCATGCAGTCATGTAGTAAATATGCATCAAGACCAAAAATTACTCCCCGTTGAAATGGGGAGACAAGACAGCATGTACAGCAAAAGAATAAGACTATATTAAATTCACCAAAATAAATAAATGAATACAAAATGTACCACTAATTTTGTACTTGATTTTTTTGAAAGAATTCCTTATATATTTTTCCGTTCATGTTAGGTCCTCTAACGCTGTAAATGGGTTTTAACAAAAATATATTGGGGATTAAATTTTAAAAATATATTTTGTTCCAAAAGTTTGATCCAATTCAGGAGAGATTCTGATAGTACAGCCATCCCAGGTACCACACCCACTACCTTATAAGAAGGCGCTCACAGACCCACTAATCCTAGCCCAAATAAAATAATTGACATTAGTGAAGAGAAATCTAGATGGAAGTTTCAAGTTCCTGTCCGTTTGAAGGATTACATACGATATTAGCCACATGTAGGACTACTCATGGCAAGAGGAACCAGGTCTGTTATTTTGAGTGAGTGAGCTGTAATAATTGAGAACCTTTTTTATGCTGTTACTTTTCCTTTTATCAGTATACATAAGGCACGCATACAGTACGTAATAGGGAGAGAAAAAAGAACCAAAAACTTTCTCCCTCACAGTTTCCTCCTAAATCTCTCTCTCCTCTCTTTATAACCGTTACATTTGGTCTCCCGTTGAGCCCTCTTTCTTCCCTCCCATGGCTGACCATTCTACAGCTCTTCTTAACATCAAACGTCAACTCGAACAGCTCCTTCTCTCCTACAAAAATCTCTCCAATACACTTCATGACTTAGAACAGTGCACTTCCCAGCTTGAAAACAAACAAACCATCCCACCCACCACCAACAACCCATCTCCCACAAAACCCTTCTGTTTTGATCTCTCTAATTTTGATGGCTCTGATGCCTTGTGGTGGACTTTCAAAGTCACCCAGTTTTTCGATTATCACCAAACCCCACCAGTGCAACGCACTCAAATCGCATCATTCTATTTGGAGGGACCAGTTAGTATCAATGGATGTTCAATAACGGTCTCCTCACATCATGGGAGTCCTTCCTCAGAGCACTTGAACTCTGCTTTGCCCTTCCAAGTTTGATGACCCGATAGCCACTTTGTGCAAGTTGCTTCAAACCCAATCTCTAGATGACCTCTCTGAGTTTGAAACAATTTCCAACCGCATATCTAAATATCCCCCAGTTTTTACATGAGTTGTTTCATCTTTGGCCTCAAACCCAATTTACGTCATGAAGTGTTAGCTTCCCAACCCATGACCTTCCATAGGCGATTGCATTTGATAAGTTACTTGAGGATAAACATAAACATATTCCTTCTTCTTACACATTCTTTCCAAAGCCACTAACCCCACCACCTCCAACCATACACAACCATTAAAACCACTTCCCCCTCTCTTATCCACCCCCACATCCAAAATACCAATAAAGAAACTCAGAAATAGAAATACAAGCTCGCGAGAAAAAAACCTTTGTTACAACTGCATGAATGTTACCACCGTGGTCATCGGTGTATGATCCAATTTCTCTCCTACTCATCTCTCAGGACCATCTCGATACACTTGACCCAAGTGATGAAACAGATCCAAGTCCACCTAATGACATGAACCTGGAGGCTGACTCATAAGCCTGCGCGCCTTCTCGGGCCAATGGATCCCACGTACATTCTGTCTCACTAGATCTATTAAAGGTTATGTAGTTCAGATACTCGTGTATAATGAGGCAACCCACAATTTCATCCAACAAAGAGTCGCTCACTTCCTCCAGTTGCCTCAATAGCTCACTTCACCACTTCGTGTTATGGTTGGGAACGGAGACTTTCTTCCATGCTCTACCATTTGTTCCAATACCACCATAACATTATCCTCTCTGAAATTCGAAATGGATCTCTCCCCTTTATAACTCTCAGGTAGTGATATTGTTTTGGGAGTGTAATGGTTAACCCAAATCAGCCCGTTTATAATAATGGACTATTCGGGTCCATTTATGAAATTTATGTGGGTTGGCCATTTGGTCGAACTAAGAAGAGAAACAAGTCCACACCCCACACCAATTTCAGTCCACCAACTAAAGAAACTACATAATACTCACCAGGTCGAGACCTTATTTCAACTTACGCTAGAAACATACCCAATACACATAGACAACCCCGCTACCCTAAATACATTAGCCTTACAAAACTGCACCACACATTCTGACATACCTTCTTCTCTCATTCCTAGGTTACAGGTCATTCTCATCAAATACTCCCCCATATTCGAACCACCAACTTCCCTTTCACCTTCTCGACCAACAAACCACTCAATGACCCTACTTCCTAACACACTACCAGTATTCGTTCACCCATACCGATACCCTCACTTCCAGAAACAAGAAATCAAACAACAGGTCCAAAAAATGTTTGATTATGGTTTCATACAACCCAATACTAGTCCTTTCTCCTCCCCGATACTTCTTGTGAAGAAAAAGAATGGCACATGGCACTTTTGTGTCGATTATCACGCATTAAGCACAATTAGCATCAAGGAAATATCCACTGTAAATGAATTGTTAGACGAGTTAGGTCAAACAACATGGTTTTCAAAGCTAGATCTCTTTTTTGGATTCGATCAAACACTCATACGTCCGTTTGGTTTTGTAAAAATAGGATTCAGAGCACATAATGAGCATTTTGAATTTAAGGTTATACCTTTTGAGCTTTGCAACACCCCCTCAGCCTTTTAAGCCACGATGAACGACCTCTTTCGCCCTCATGCGATGATTTACCATTGTCTTCTTTGACGATATACTTGTCTTCAACCCAACTCTTGATGCTCACATAGCCCACTTAGAAGCAGCTTTCCAATTGCTGATGGATAACTGTTTTCGGCTAAAAGATTCAAAGTATTCAATAGGACAACAATCCACCCATTATCTCAAGCATATTATCTCCAGTTCAGGTATACAACCCGACCTTTCAAATACAAGCTATATTGGACTGGCCTTCGCCTGCTTCAGTCAAATCCCTTCGTGGATCCCTTGGATTAATTGGGTTTTACCGTCTCTTTGCGAAAGGATATGCATATATCGCTTCTTTTACGAACCTCCTCGAAAAAGACAACTTCTTATGATCAGATGAAGCCTCCATTTCCTTTAAGGCACTGAAAAATGCTCTCACAAATGCTCCAAACTGACGTTCCGGCACCGGAGCAATATTGTCACAGCAGGGTCACCCAGTAGCTTACTTTAGCAAACACTTTTATCCTAAATTAAAGAATTCCTCTGCATACGTACGAGAATTATGTGTCATTACCTCTACTGTCCAAAAATGGAGAGAATATATGTTGGGTCATCACTTCATCATACAAACAGATCAATAATCAACCTAAGAGCTGATGACTCAAACGGTCCTGACACTCGATCCACAAACACATTTGTCCAAACTCTTGGGTTTTGATTTTGAAATACAATATAGGCCTGAGAAATCCAATAATGCGGCAAACGCCCTCTCTCGCTTACCATAAGAGAAAACATTTCTTGTCCTTACAATAACTCAATTGGTTTTCCTTGATGACCTTAAAGCTGCCCTCAATTCAAATAAAAATTTCTTCAACTCAAATACAAACTCTCTATTTCCCCGTCTAGTCTCATTTCTGGCAAAGACCCAATCTTCATTCATCATTTTTGACGAGACATTTTGATTGAGTCACAAAATTACGTATGTCTACCGCCTATCACCCTGAAACCGACAGGCAAACCGACGGGCAAACCGATGTTACAAACAAAACCCTACAATAGTATCTACAGTGCTTCGTCCATCATCGTCCTTCCCTATGAGCAAGTATTTAGCATGGATTGAATGGTGCTTTAATACAACACCAAATACTTCTACAGGTCTCACACCTTTTGAAGTAGTGTTTGGACGTCCACCACCCTCCTTTCCTCAATTGTTGCTCAATGACTCATCTAATGTTGTTGTTCAATTTGAGTTGTGCACCAGGTAGGAAATTTTACACAAACCTGCATAAAGCTCAATTGGCAATGAAACGATGAGCTGATTCCAACCGTCAAGACCTACAACTCACGGTAAACGATTGGGTCTATGTTCGACTTCGCCCTCGGAGACAAGTATCAACTACTAGAGGATGCTTTAACAAGTTCCACAATCGTTACTTTGACCCATTCAAGATCACACAGAAGATTTAGGAAGTTACTTATAAACTGGATTGCCTCCTACTGCAAAAATACACAACGTGTTCCATGTGTGCCTCTTAAAACCTCACATTGGACCATCCCGCCTCAACCATTTCCCCTACCTCCTAAGATTGTGGACAACCAACCAATTCTAGAGCCAATTGCCATAGTAACTGGAAAACAAATGACTTAGGCACTTGGGCTCTTGTACAATGGAAGGGGTTACCCCTCGAAGAAGCAAGTTGGGAACCATGGCCTCAGGTACAGTCCCAATCTCACCTTGAGGACAAGGTGCTTCTTGAACAAGAAGGAGATGATAATACTGCTATCCCAAGTACCACACCCACTACCCTAGAAGAAGGTGCACAGATCCATTAATCTGACCCGAATAAAATAACTAACATCAGTGAAAAAGAAATTTAAAAGGAAGATTGAAGTTCCTATCAATTTAAAGGATTACATATGATACTAGTAACGTGTAGGGCTACCCATGGCAAAAGGAACCAATTTTGTTGTTTTGCATGAACTTTAATAATTAAGAACCTTATCATGTTACTTTTCCTTTTATCAGTTAATATATGGGGAGAGAAAAAAGTATCATGTTATTTCTCCCTCACTGTTTCCTCCTGGATCTCTCTCTCCTCTCTGTATAACCCTTACAGATTTTTCCATAATACTAATTTTCAACAATGAAATCATCACCTCTTCTTTTCTCTAATGATTTTTTTTCCTTTATTCCTTATCCAAATTCCCGCTCCTTTTAGTTGGGGTTTATTATGGCATCGAATTCGTGATGCATGCCTACACAATTACGGTATAAAACTGTCCCCCACAAAATATATGCTCACAAAACAAAACTTACAATTTCAATCACAGATTTTTTTCTTAAAAAAATTAGAAGAGAATGATTTATATAAACTATGATTCATGAATATATAAAAACATGTATTTTTAAACCTTAAACTTAAATAACGTGAAATATTTAATTTTTATGTGCATTTTGAATATTAAAAATTTGTAAATATATTATTTTTATATTATTTAATTAGTAATATTATTTTATTAATAGCAATTTAATCACAGTTCTTTAAGTAAGCAATTTGTCAGGATTTACTCTGTGCAAGTTCAATGAATGATATATACTAGGCCAGGCTCTATATTCAATGTTAGCAAGATATTTCTAGACTTGAAAAGTCAATTTGCCAATTATGAGGAAGTAATAAAGAAACTGTCCCTAAATTATAGACAGCAAAGATAAGGTCACTTTCATAATTTTCTCCTTTAAATTTTCTTATAACTAAGTCTAAGAAGAGTAAAAATATTTTTAATATTTATAAAATGAGTATATTTAATTTTTATCTTTATAAAAGTTTTCTTTATTTTTTATTTAAAGATAAAATTATTATAAGTATGACCGTTAACTAATTACATATATATTGAAAAAAAAAAAACTATTTCAAATAGCGTATGTTACTATTGTAATATAATGTTAATATATTTTACCTTAAAAGATCTTAAAAATTTAAAATAAATGTTATTTATCTATTTTAAAACAAACATTTAAAATAATATAATTATTTAAATTTCATTTATTTATCTACTTTAAAATAAAAACTAAAAATTAAGATATTTATTTAAATATTTTGAAAAATAAAAATTAAAAAAATATTCTACATATTTTAAGTTTTGTAGAAATGAAAAAAATATTGTAGGAGCCAAATCGTATTTCTACCATTTAAAACCAGTATTAGAAGATTGTGAAAATAGTTTAAAAATAAGAAAGGATGATAATTGTTTGAGAAAAATAATTCAAAATAATACTATATCAGTTTATTGTTTGAAACAATCATTTTTGTGCATTAAATGCGAGTTTGGTAAAGAGCACCTACTCTACGTTCAAGCTCCAAATGCTTTTGGAAAGCAGTAAAATATTTTTACATAATGGTAGTTGACGTCTATTAAACTCTATTCTAAAAGTAGATTTAAAACACTGACTTTATGCTGATGATAAATAAATAATTTTAAAGCATAAATATAAATATATTAAAAACAATAATATCTCATACCATACAATAACTAATTATACTCCATTAATATAAATTAGAATACACAACACTCTATACTCTCAATTAAATATTCTCTCTTTTTTTACTTTCTCGTTCGAGACACTATCCCCCCTCAACCGATAAAATATTTACGGCTAGTAGAATGTGTTTGATAGAAGACAGAGCAAGAAATAAAATGAATATATATATATATATATATATATATATATATATATATAATCAATATCTTAATTTATATTATTCAATATAAACCTAAAACATAATGTATATATTAAACTATTTATTTATTATGAATTTTAATATAATATAATTAATAAAGAGAGGGAGAGATAGAAATATTTATTTGTTTTGATTTTAATTGTTTAAAATAAATCACTATCAGGCAAAAGAAAAAGCAAAAAGCTTTTACTTATCTCAAAATAAATTCCACTCAAACCAAAATTAATTTTAAGAAAGCGTCTACCAGAAGAAAAACTTGAGAAAATTAAAATTTAAATAGACAATATTATCGACCCAATTCATAATTCATGTTAATAGCTTAAACAAGGAGGCCATAAAGTGTATTCAGGTTACATTTCAAAGTCTAAGAATGTGGCTTTGCACTTTCCTAAATAGCATTACAAAACTAAAACTAACAACTTACAGTCAACTCTTTACCAACACACTCATAATTATTTTGTTATCATGGGTCCCAGTTTCTCATCCTTATAAAAATAGTACTTATCCTGTTTAGTTGAGATGTCTCCCTCAATAGTTGAGTAAGTATATTTCGATGACTTATTTTTTATACATAGTTCCTTTATAATTTTTTATAATAATATAATATAAAAATTATTATCATTACATTATTACAAGAAGGTTTTCAAAAATATTATATATGAAAAATAGTTAAAGTATTACATTTCAAAATGATCTTAGCTGTAATAATTTAAATATTACTCCTCATGATTTACATGGAGTTAAATTCAAACTAGCTACTTTGTTCGTAGCAACCGTGAAAATTTTTCTCTCAACAAAATTCTGCAGATGAATAAACTGATTTTGCTCTCACTCAATCCTCTCATAAAGTAGAATCTTATTACTTAGACTCGAAAAAAGAAAAGATCACAATTTTTTCCGGTTTTAATAAATCGTTATAAAATAAATATTGATGCCAAATTTGTTCTGGACTTGTTTGAATAAACTTTTTAATAAATATACAGGCGAAGATAAAACAAAATTGAGATTAATGCATAAATTAAATTAATTTATGAAAAAAAGGTTATTATATTTATATTTTTTATTTTCTTTTTTAAACATTTAAAGAGAAATTTATCAAAACAATAGATATAAAAAACACGTGACTTATTGTTTACCTTAGTATTTTGTTAGCAAAAACTCCTAAACATTTTGGTTATTCTAATATGAAACTAAATTATAATCCTCAAATTTCAAAAGATTCTTTAAATAAACATATGAATGAAATATTCTATAATAAATATGAAATTTAATTTTCTGTATAGTCAGTGTATTTTTTTTATATTGAAATTAATCTAATATAAATAATCTAACCATGTAACCATCTATCTATAATTATAGTAACAATAATAAAATATAATTCTAATTAAATTCATAAATATATCTAATTCTAACTTACACTTTTTATTTTTTAGATGCATCTAATAACTATGTAATTGATGAAACGTGTTCGTTCCCCATTAGAAATTAAATTCTGAATGCAAAATTGATTTGAAGTTGAAACAACTATATGTATTTTTGTGTGTTAGATAACAAAAATTATATTAAATTTTATTAAACTAAAAAAATATTTAACTATATATAAACTACTTCACTTCAAATAATTTTTCGTCAAAAAAAAATCATTTAAAATTAGACATTCCCTCGGACACAAGTTAATCTGACTAAATTATGTTCTAATTTATTTATATTTTTCAAATTAAATATTACAATATTTATGCAATCTAAAAAAAAATCAGAAAAACGTGTCTAATTTACCCTAATCTATTTTCCTTCCATTATTTCGTGACTCTTTTCTATTTTGTAAATAAATCAAATCATGACATTGAATACCGCAAATTTTACGGTCAGAAAGAAACGGATTGGGAAACTGAACTTTTTTCTGTGGAAACAAAGTAGAGTAACAAGAACTCACCCGAGATTTCAAGGGGACGTTGTATTCGTGGTGTTGCAGGAAATGGAAAAAGTCGTGGAGATCGAATCCACCTTCCTGATCTTCCTTCTGCGATTGCTGAAGGATCCGTTCGGAATCGAATGCGGTGCAGTCCTCTTCGCCCTGATGCTCCTCCAGGAACCGGAGGAGGTCGTCGGCGGACATGGAGGAGGCCCCGGCGGTGAATTTAGAAAAGGCATTTTGGACGTCGGGCGGTGGGCCCGCTTCGGTTAGGGTGAACTTCCTGTTGAAGCAGCTGAAGACTTTGTAGGTGTGGGTGGCCATGGTGAAATGAAACGTAATCACATGAAGAAAATGGATGAGAGATAAAATGGTTTGTGTTTCAGAGAAGAAATGGCGATAGAAGGGGAATGGAATGGACTTTATTACATGCGAGTGTGGAGGTTAGATGAGGAGGACATGAACCATGGACACAGCCATTTATGGCAAAAAAAATAAAGTTAACATTATTTAAAACTAATATTTCACATATTATTCAAACAATTACAAAAGGTTAATTTATTAAAATTTTTAAAAGTTTAAAAGCTTTAAAGAATTTTTCTACTTTTGATTTTAAAATTTATAAACAAATAGATAAAAAATCAAACATTTAATGTAATTATATTTTCAAGGCTTTGACATGGATTTATTGATTAAATTTGAACAATATCGGGATAATTAATATACAAGTTCAATATTGATTTATACAATTTTTTTAAATTTATCATTGTAAATTATATTTATAAATATAAAAAAATAAGTATTAAATATATTAATCGAGTATTAGTTAGTCATACTAATTCTTTTTAACTGCCAGTCTTCACATGTTCAAGTATTGAAGGTTGATGTGAAGTGTCTTTCAATAGCATTGTTTTTCGTGCCCATCTTTATTATTAATTTTGAAATTAAATAATATATTATAAATAAATAATAAAAATATATAAAAAAAATAAAAGACTAAAATTATAAATATATTTAATAATTATTAAATTTGATAATAAAAATTTGTTTCATACAATGACGTATAGCATTTAGAAAACTCATTCAGTTATCATATTTCAGTTATCATCTAGAGAAAAGTGTTTAACTTATTCTTCATCTTGACTAATAGGTAATGCAAAACTTTTAAATACAGAAGATCTTTAAAAATTATTTAAAGCTTTTATTTAGTTCAGTAGGTATTATGTAACAATGAGAATCAGATATGGACTTCAACATAAAAAACCACTAATTATCATATCAATATCTATCTATATTCTATATAATTAAAAAGTATTTTAACTTGTTTTTAACCGTGAGATTAAATTTTTAATATCAATACAACCGTTAAGCTTGAATAAAAAAATTGAATTCCTCTTAATAATTCAATTGAAGTTTCAACATCAACATATTTCTATTATTGAGATTAAATTCTTGTTATTGAGTACAATTCACAAAGGTTGAAGGGCAGGTTTATTTATGTGAAATTGAGTATTTGATGAAAAACAGCTAGAATTAAATTGGCAACATTGGTTAACTATATAACTTACAAACAATGAACCATGTGCGTTGAAGATTGACAGATTGACTCAAAATTTGTAACTGTTTCTAGCTGGTTAAATTAAAGGTTATTTCCATGGATTGTATTTTACAAAATACAAAGTAGTTAAATGAATGATATCTACAATTTATTTAGAGTTTCAAGCTTAAAGCGCATAAGAAGTTTCACAGATTTGAATATCTTTCCTTTGTGGTCATACAAAGGAACTGACCGAAATCCTTGCCTTAGCTCTGATACTGGCAAACAAGTTTGTCCTGCAAAGTCATCTTTTCCCTTATCTTTGTCCTTTACTTCTATCCGAAGTAAAGCAAGCTCAGGAACTCTCAATTCGAATTTCAATTCTTCATCCCAGACAGGATGCCATGTGTCCATTCTTACACTAGTTTTGTTCTTGACACAATCAGCTGGCACTCCAACAATACAGACCTGTCCAACAAATTGTTCAAACAGTAAGATAAATGTGCTACAGATTATGCTTATCCTATTCTTTTGCTGGACTGCATTGTCTGTTTAACACTCTTGGCCGTGACCAAATATATGTAAACGATCTCTTACCATAAAGATGTTCAGCCAAATGAGTTAACAAATCAAAAACAAGAACGATCAAAGGACTTTGTTGTGAGTAACAGTGGTCTAGATCAATATTCATTAATGAAAAACTAGCATTGAATTTGATGGTAAAAGATAACTCATGGCATGGGTTCACCTGAGTTTACAAGAATATTGTTCCTAATCTATCAGGTAATTGTGCAACTGACCTTTGTATAAAAGTCTGGTGGAGAGAATCGATCAAAGTGTTTCGGACGGAAATCTAAACTCCAACCATCTCCTTGATATACTTTTACCTGTTGTTGAATATGAAAATATTCAGATGTTATGAAACAACTCAATTTCCTTTTAGCAAAGTGATTAAGTATATGCTTACTTTTAATATCTCCTTCACTGGCAGTGTTTTTTTAGGATCAAACACCTCGTCATGTGGAGGTGTTCGGATTAGAAATTCAGGCTTTTTAACAAAACCACACCCTCCATTTGCTCTGAACATTCCCTGCATGAACCGGAGTGATTTCCCATGCCCCTGTCATAATACGACAAGTGTTAATGCCGGAAAGGTTTATTTATTATTCACAATCTCTCTAGTACTAAAAACATATGATATTTGAATAACAACATTTTGTTAAAGCTTATAGGAATAAAAAAATTTACTCCATTACACATTTTTTATAAGAATCATACGACCCAGCAATAATTCAACATGCGTATGAGATTGCACAAGCACCACGTCATAAAAGTAAAAAAAAAGTGCCGAACACCATTTTATCTAACCTGCATATTGAATGCAACCATCTGAGCTCCATACATCCACCCTAAATGTGGCCTAAAATTTGAGGATTTGACACGTTCTCCTTTAGGATAAACTCTCAGGATATTTCTCTGTGTGAACCTGGAAAGGGTAACAATTTCTATCAAGCCATAGATGTATGTGTGCCATGGTTATTGTTAGCTATAGAAATGCTGATCATCTCTTCAGCTACTGGTAATGTTCAAATAAGTTTGATAGGTACCTAATAAGGTCGGCTCCATGCGACTCAGAAGCACTTTTTAGTTTCTTCTCACCCAAACTCAGCCGTCTAACTTTAATATCATCTTTCAATTGATCCTTCATAGAACCTTTTGATTTCCCACCATGGATTGTGATCAATTGTTTGTATTTACGTAAACCTTGTTGGTTTGGTTTGTTATCACTTGTATTTATAGTTTCCCGATCTGCATCACTTGGATTCTGCTGTCAAAAGAGAAAACGTGAATTCAAAGGACTAATAATTCAAAGTTCATTTTTGGATTAGCTTATATAATCTTTTTTTTTTTTTTTACTTGTACACACTGCTTCAAAGTGATTAATGTATTTTTCTCTCACCTTGTCCGTAGTTTTCAGTTCAGTCACAAAATCTGACAAATCCAATCCCCATGATTCTTCTTCTTCAGGTGGTTCACATCCAGCTAGCCCAGCGTTGCTTTTGCTGATACTATCAGATGGCTGATACTCCTTTGGTGGTTTGGTTGATATAATAATCCGTTTTTTCAATGATTCTGGTGAGGGGAATTCTGTCAAATAATCTGTCTGGGGCCAATAAAGTATTTCTCCAAATATTTCAGATGCCATCTACATTAATAAGAAAAAAAAAAAAAAAAAAGGAATGGTAAAAAAATAGTCATGCATGTCAATTAACATCCCTATTTTTTTTCTTTTCTTATTTAGAGGGTGATTGACAATGAGTACTTACTTCCGCAAATTTACCCTGATGTTTTGGTGTTAGGTGGTCTTCCAAAGTAAGAATTACTGGGTAATCTGATTTGTAAAATGCATATTTCTTTATGGATTGTAGACATTTGGATACTGAGACTGGAGTGGTAAAAGTCCTGCATTGATTCAAACATATGTATAAGAAAGCAATCATTCAACTTTCTGAGATGAACTACTTCTTCCTTTTTTTTCCTTTGCTAAGAACTCTCATTAGATATGGTTTTAATAACAAGCTAGTACCTTCCGTGAACCACTTTAATACCATCTTTAGTTGAAGATTTAGATGGCCATAAATCTAGTTCAATTACTCGTACACCTTGTTTCAAAGCCTCTATAATTGGCTCGTCGCTGCTCTCACTGGTAAATTGATTCCCAGTCAGATAGGAATTGTGCCCCGTATACATGAAATAATGTGACAAGGGAGCATTCATATCATGATGCACCTGGAAACATGTATGATTTATTATTTATTATTTATTATTCATTGTCAGGAAAAGTTAAAATTTATAAATCCATTTATTCAAATTCAATACAAACTACAAACATTGACATCAAAAAGAGCCTATATGAAACAAAGAAGATATGTTGCTATAAACTTTTGTGATTTAAGAATGTTTTTGATACCCAAGGAATTTTGAATATTTACCACACGTTTGTGTATGCAGCAATTTCTGAGCTTCAAATTCAAACACTACCCCAGTTCCATACAATTTTTGGGCAGACTAACAGGAGAAAGATTTTCAATAATAAGACACACGTTAAACATACAAAAGAATATGATTAACCTAAAACTTTAAGATATTGATTATGATCTTTTTCAAGTTATTTAACTTTCTCACTTTCTCCTGAAACTTCAAACTCCTCTCGAATACTCAACCCACATGACAATCTATGTTTGTATAGAGTTTGAAATCACCTCAGTTAAATTTTCAAATATAATCAGTGTAAAGACTTTTGCACTATCAAAGACAATATGACTAGAGTTTCAACCCAAAATCTCAAGACCTTACATCACGGTTGTTTCTTCTTTATAAGTTATATTTAACGTGGATTTCAACTCCCTCTTTTGGATGAAGCTCAATAAATGATAGGTAGAAATACAAACAAAGCAAGACAAGGCAAGGTAGATTTTCGCATGGTTCAAATAACTAATAAACTAGAACCAGAATTTTGGCATCTCGTGCACACAACAATAGCACATTTTAAGAAATTTTCTGCTTCAATTTGTCAGTATTGGAACAGTCAGATAAAGTGCAAACCTTGTCTTTCAAAGCAGCATTCAGATCATGAAGAAGCAGAAAATTGATGAAATCACTGAGACTTAACCCTTGTCTCTTATTCACATCAGGAAATCTTGTATATCTGGAATTAGAGCTAGAACTGCAACTTCCTGATAGCAAAAATTTCTCGAATATTTTATCCAAATCCTCCATGCTGCTGATATTTTCTCCCTGGTGCTCCACAATGAACCGAAGAAGCTGATCCTTCTTCATTTGGTTCCCTCCTCTCGCAAACTTGGAAAAGGCTTCCTTAAGGTCCAAAGGTGGTTCTGCCTTGTCAACTTCACCCTTTTTGGTCAAGAAGTTTAACATCCTGATCTTGAATGCTTCAATTTTCATTCTCACCCTTCCCTGCCAATAGAAATATATATCAATGGAATTGTGAGAAAACAAACACATGTTACTAAACAAAAGGTGCAGTACGAGAGCAAGACAAGTCAACCTTGGAAAAAGAGCCTCTCTCTGGTTTCATTGGCTAATAAAAACCCTTGTTTCCTTTGCCTTACTACGGCCTTGTTGTGTATCTTGGTTCTGCAATATTGAATGACTACATATTTATGCATCCGATCAAAGTCGAATAAAACAAAGTAAATTTAATGTTCACACACGAAAATTGATTTTTTTTTTTTTCACGAGGTTAGCCATTAAAAAATTGAATGCATGGACCTGAATATAAAATGTAATTATTGAATGTCGTTGGAAAGGTTATGTAATTGAAGTTGTTATACAGTGTATTTTCTACCAGTAAAAAATGTTTGTTATGACAACTTTCCTAATAAAACTGAGACGGCACCACTACTACCTCTCTGGTAAGATTAAGGGCTATGTTTCAAGTTCACATTCACAGTATTTTTTAATCAAACCTTTCAACATTTTATTTTTTTTATTCCTATAATAAAAAAAAACATTCTTATAAAAATTGAAATAACCGTTCCTGATTGTTACAATTTTGTACTAGTTTTACTCTTACCCTAGAAGATTGTGTTTTGTGGGAGGGATGATTGAGGACAAATTAACAGATAACTTACTTGAAAGATTGAAACACTTGGTTCACAGTTTTATGGTTTGAAATGTGTGAAATTTAGTTTTTCGTTCGATATCCAAACCTATAATTTGATGGTGGGAAAGTGTCAAAGGTTGTTAGTGTTTTCAGATCAAACCTATAATTGTCGATTGACTAGATTAAAATATTGGTCGCTGGATTATTAATTATGCCAGAAAGTCCACTAATTAAATTTGCAGAAATGAGTAAAGTCTTATAATAAGATGAGTGCACATTGAAGGCAATGCATGAGTAGTGGTGACATTGGAGAACGTCCCGTTTCATGTTTTTGAACAAAAAATTAAACACACCTTTGCAAGCCAATAATGTATATGCCTGTGACAATTGGATTTGAATATTTTTGGCGAATAAACGTTGCAGCGAAAGCGTTGAAACTGGTAGATGACAAAAGCTTAATTGCAGATAGTGTTGGAATGGAAATCTGTGCACTCACGAACCAAGTCGACCTTGGGCTGCTTTAAAGTCTGGTTTGTGATGTCATTATGAAGTTGGGTCTATGATCTCATCAAGTTCAATACAAATGAGATTGAATTTATATATAGAGAGAGAGAAAGGTATTATTTAAATAATTATCAAATATTCAGTTATTCTTATCATATTCGACTTATATTTTGAATATAAATTTAATATCTTATAAACAAATTACTATTAACATATTATTTTATAATTACTTAAAAGTTTTAAACTCTAACCATTTGATTATTTTGAAATATAAGATTTAATAATGTGATATCATTAAGATAGATATAAAATTAAAAATCGTACGTGATAATATGTTTATGATTGAAAGATATTCCCTTTTAACACATACTTATTCTAATTATTTATATTATATTTTTATTATCTTTTAACTAACTTGAGTATTGATATTTCACAAGTTGATGGATGAGTTTTTGTCTAGTTATGACTTATTCTTCATTAAAATTGAGATTGTTTTCTGTCCATAAATAACTTAATTTAGGGAATATTTCACCTTATTAATGACTCGGTTAAATACGTTATATTTAAAATACAAAATAATAATTAATATGTGATTCATTAAATATTTTATTATTAATTATATTTTTTTATATTTTTCAATTTATAAAAGGCAATCATAACCATTTTAAGATAGAAATTAAGTATTAACATCCCAGTAACAGTTAATATTGTGTTCATGAAATATAGTACGTAACTAATTATGATGTATAAAATTAATAAATAAAATTATTGTCAAATTATTAATATATATTGATATATGTTTGAAATTCTTATTTTTTATTTTAATAAAAATAAAACATAAGATATGAAAAAAATGAATTATTGAATGATAAAATGATATAAAAAGCAACCATCTTATTATTTTTAAAATAGATAAATGTGTATATATATATATATATATATATATATATATTCAATTGAAAAATAAATATATTGTCTGTAATAAATATCATAACTAATATATTATAAGAAATATAATATGGAGTCATTTAATAAGGATAAAACAATTATTATTAGATAACTATTAGTTTAAATTATTTTATTATTTTTAATTAGATTTCTTAAAAAAAATTATAATTTTGTTTATAAACTTGTAGTTTTCGTATTATCTAGTCATCATTAAAATTAAGCAAAACATAGATTCAATTAGTCCTTTGTTATAAATTATTACCTCTACAAATTCACATCAAACATTTATATCTTCATTTTTTATTAAATATTGTGAAATCTAAAGTGATTATCACAAATCAATCTCTTAATTAATCTAAATTGATAAACGAGTCAATGGAATCAACTAAAACTAACTTGTTTGATATTTCTTTTAAAAATGAAAATATTTATGGACTTGTGATATAACTGATTGATATATTTTAAATTTGAAATATGAAATTATTATAATTTTTTTACTTAAAAATTAGGAACTTAAAATGATAATATAATTTAAATTTAAAGTATACTTCAATTAAATTATTTTAATTTAGTTATTTAAATGTTTTGCTTTTTAATATGTATTAAGTTTATCATGACTGATAATGACTAAGTTGATTTTCAAGTACTTGTTGTCACTTTTTAAATAAATATTTTCATTTTTATAAGTAACCAATTCAATGTTTAAAACCAAATTCTTCCATGGATATTATCATATTCAATTCAAATATTATTTTACAATTTTGTCCAACGCCCCACCACAATCTTGCCACAAACTCATAAAGTTAATTATCGAGGTGGAGAAATAAATAAAAAAATATTTCATGAACCTAATTAAAATGTTATAAAATAATTTTAAAATTTATATACTGTGTTGTTATATATTTCATATTTTATTTTAAAATAAATTAATTGAATAACTCTTTTAAACATTATAAAATAGTAAAGTTTTTAATATAATAAAACATATATTAAAAACACAATATATATTACTAACAGAAAGGTTGGTAACGAGTTAAGTCAAGTAACACAATATTACTTTAATTTTTAATATATCTTTTTAAATGATACAAGAAAATGATAATATATATAATATTTTGTAGTATACTATTTATTATATATATTCTATTATATTAAATTAAGAATTAAGAGTGGTTGGAGGATTCTTTATATATGTATTTTTTTCTGTTGTTAACAGTTTTACATTTTTTTCTATTTATTTTATACTAAATTTCTATTTACATAATGAGATAAGGTAAAAGATAGTCTAATCATAGAAAAGTAAAGATAAAACTACTTATGATTTCTTTTTTAAAACTTATTAAATCCTTGGAAATCCATAAAATCTCATTATTTCATATTCTATAAATTTTCATTTACTAAATCCAAATCACAACCGTTTTAATAAATTTTTTATATTCTTATAACTTTTTTATAAAAATATTATATTCTTATAAAATCTACATAAATTTCTTATAAAAACAAATCATTTGAAAATTAAATTAAATTTTCCAATGTAAAAACAATCCAAAAATATTTAATTATATAATCTATATGATGCAATCTAAATATTATTTAAAATATTTAGATGGACTAAATTAACTTTTTGGGTCAATAGACTCTATGAATTATTGAAAGTAGAAACTAAATAGATTTGAAATAACTGCATGTGGTTTTAGTCTTAAAAAATGAGGAAGAAAAAATAAAATAAAATAAAAAACAAAAACAAAATCTTATATCAAGAAATTATAATTATAATTGGTAGACAACAAACATGTTTAGCAATTGATTGTCTTTTGCAGCTGCTGCCTGTAATGGCCTCCAGAACAACTGGAACTCTGGTTTTGGTGTGTCTGTTATGGCTTTTCTTCCTCTGCGCCACCATTGCTTTCTTTCAGCTTCACTTGGTAGACAACAGGAACAACAACCCATCCTCTCGCAGTAAATTCATCTCAACTCAACAGCGCTCTGTAAGGATTTATCTTTCTGCCACTTTTTTTCTTCATTCCCTTCTCTTGGGTTTGGTGGGTCAATCATACACTGATGCATATTAACCCCCTTTCCCTGGTTTCTAGGCTACCCCTTTGGGACAGGATTTGGAGGGTGTCACTCACAAGGTGTATTTTGATATAGAGATCCATGGGAAATTAGCGGGTATGATTCATTCATTAGAAATATCAGATTTTTATTTTGGTTTCATACAGAGAATTTCGCATTTCTTATGTATTTTTTTGCATATGTTGGATTATGAAAAATATTTTCGGAATGATTTGGAACGTGATAGCAGCTTGAGTGTAGGCTGGGATTTTAGATGCATTAATTCGACACATCACTCATTGATTCAGGGTGATTTGTGTCATTAGGCACTCCTTTGAGAATTATATGCAATGAATTGAGCATCAGAAGAGGTGCCATGGTATTTTCAAGTATGGTGCAAGGAAAATAAGGGTTATTTGATTCTGAAATGGAATTGAACATGATGGAACCACCTTGCTCATTGTGATGGGTGTTTGAATGAGATTTGTATCAATTTTGAGAATGAGAGCGCATGTTGTAACGGGCGTTAGAATTGTTCTTTGTCTAGCCTAGGTGCCATCTGACTGATCTAGGATATGTTTAGATAGAATTTTTCAAAAACATTTGTATGAAAGTAAAATAAGTAAAAAAGAAAATTCTTCAAATGCTAAAATTAGCTTATGTGTTAGATAATTTGTAATATTAACTTTTACAAATGTTATTTTTTAATTTATGTATAAGTTAATTTTGTCTTAAGGGAAAAAAAAAAATTTCTCTTATACAAGACTTTTTATCCTGATGACGCTTTTCATAACATGTGTTTGGGAAAGTTGCTAAGATGGAGTTCGTGGTAAATAATATCTCAAAAAAACTATTGTCTACCGAACCAAATAATGTTATTTGATCTATGAGAAATTGCAAATGCAAAACAATTGTTTTTATGTTTTCATAACATGTGTTTGGGAAAGTTGCTAAGATGGAGTTCGTGGTAAATAATATCTCAGAAAAACTATTGTCTACCGAACCAAATAATGTTATTTGATCTATGAGAAATTGCAAATGCAAAACAATAGTTTTTATGTTTTCTTGACCGCATGTGTCTTATTAGATCATATCCTCTATTGTTGAAGAAGGGTGAGCAGGATTTTCCCCTGTTTTTTCTGTCTTAGCTGTTATGTTCTTTACAAATTGGGGTTTAGTTATTATATTATGATCCGAATGGGTCACTCAAAACAGTAACAATGTTGTTTCTTGCTTCAGGTCGCATAGTCATTGGCCTTTTTGGGAACACAGTTCCGAAAACTGTAGGTACGGTATGGTATACTATAATGAAATGCTAAAGATGTTTGTTCAGACAGATATTGGTTTCATGTGCAGGATTTGGTTACTAATCTTATCATCCCTTTTGTGCAGAAAACTTTCGAGCGCTTTGTACGGGTAGCTCTGCAACTATAGTTACTTTCCTTGTTTGACATTGAAGTGGATCTATTACTTATGTTGATAATAGTTTTCTCCCTTATATATAGTGATCAGTTGGAGTCAATCTTGATATGTATAAATCTCTTGGTAGTATAAACTATAAATTTGAACAGCATCTCATTTCAGGAGAGAAAGGAATGGGTAGAAGTGGGAAATCTCTTCATTATAAAGGGAGCACATTCCATAGGATTATACCAAGCTTTATGGTCCAGGGTGGTGATTTCACCCGTGGTGATGGAAGAGGTGGAGAATCAATCTATGGTGATAAGTTTGCTGATGAAAACTTCAAGCTGAAGCATACTGGACCAGGTGAGCTTCTATGTTTTTGTTACTCGTATGGCATTTGTATCCATAATTATGACAATATTAATATAACTTATATTAATGCTCCTGTTCACCCTTCTTGCATGATTATCACCTTTCAGGATACTTATCTATGGCAAATTCTGGGCAAGACACCAATGGCTCCCAATTTTTCATAACCACAGTTAAAACCAGCTGGTAATATTTTATTACTTACGTTTGCTTTTTCTGCTTACCTTACTATGAAAGTTGAATAATATATTAACTTCTTGTGAAAACCTTACTGTGACATGTATAAATATGAATTTTTCTTAATGGTTTTATTTTCTTTGAATAAAATGCGATTCTAATCTTGGTGGAATAGAAAAGTATGAAAGGAAAAGCTTATTCAATTTTGTGCACAAGCAGAATATCAGATAAAAAGGTCCATTTTCCTTTCATTTAAGAATGGGTTTTTTTCATAACATAAATGAGTATAAAGCTGAACTTAGACATTCATGATTCAACTTGTTAATATAGAATAGAAACGCTTTCAAACAGTTATGTCTAAGAAGAAAAGGTAACTTTTCAAGTTTTTATGACTACTGTTGAGGTCTTTTTCAACAAGCTGACATGCATCCATTTGTTTCTCGAAAGGCTGGATGGACGTCATGTTGTATTTGGGAAGGTACTTTCTGGTATGGATGTTCTGTACAAGATTGAAGCAGAAGGAAGTGAAAGTGGCTCGCCTAAGAACAAAGTTGTCATATTAGACAGTGGAGAATTAACTTCATGACATGGTTTATTTATACAAGTTAAGATTGATTCTGCTGTGTTAACAAGTCATCTTTGTCCAACACCATAATTCACAAACTACGCATATTCATTATTCAGTAGATGAGTAAGTTTGCAGATATTCAGATATTGGTGTAATTTAAGTCTGGATTGTTGTTTTTGCTTGTCTACGCTAAGGGAAGAAAATTTTTACTGATTGTCAGAGTGAGGATACTCATTAACAGTATACATTAATTAGGCTGAAGTGTGTTATCTGAACTTTTCTCGTGTCAATAGGTACGAGGATAAATTATTTAGTCAAGTGCATCATGTCGTGTCCTCAGCTACATTCTCCACTTCCACCATTAAATCCAAAGTACAAATGGACCATCATAAAATAAAATAACATAAACAAAATGTTATCTTTTTCCTTGTCCTGTGAAAAAGGCAGAGGTCATCATTATCCAGATTTTACACAAATATGATATTGCACCACTCCAAGGTGTTGTTGTACTGCTTTATATGTTCACATTTTTTTTTCTGTCACTGTTTTCCTTCTAAGCAAACTTCTTCAACACACGATTGGACACTAAATATTAACGTATATTAGAATTGAGATTTAAACTTTGATTTGTCACACTTTAAGAAACTACTTTCTTCAGGTAGATTCAAGCTGGTCTTGTGGTAAGTTAGGCACTGATCTTTCGAAGATGTTTTGTTGTCATGTTGATGATGGTTAAGAGCAAATAACTGGTCTTTTCCCTATAAAATAAAAAAGTTACAACTCATAGAAATGAATCTTCCATTCACATGCAGTGAGCAAGAACAAGTTACTGTCCAATAACAAGTTAATTTTATTGATTTAGAAGTACAGATAGTGAATTTATTGAAAGGTAGGACAAAAGCCGACAACAACAGTAGTAGTATGTGTAGAAAGAAGTAAAGAGGACGATAGAATGCTTTGCTTTTCACCGTCCTTATTGACAATTGATGAGGAAACAAAGCCCAAAATAACCATCACAAATCTTCGACTTCAACAATAGACACATACATGTATATAGATAGAGCCAGACACAACAAAAGAGAAAGGAAACATGAGTGGTTCTATTTGGAAGGGTTTTTGGAGCGGTGTTGGCATACGTTGGTGAAATTGCTGTTGAGATCAGAGTAGAGAGAGACAACCTTGGAGATGTTGCCGTTGAGTTCCTGAATGAGGGAAACGTTTTTAACCATGTTGTTGTGCATCCGAGACTGCTGGTTCTCGTTCACCTGCTGAATCAGTAGCCGGTTCCGGTCCAGCACCGACTGCACCTGCCGGAACCCCTTGTTCAGGGTCGCCCACACCTCCGGGTCGCCGTCCTCCGCCTCCTCCACCTCCCCGTCGGACTCCCCGGTCGTCGTGCTCACCGTAGTGGTGGTGGCGGCTGGATGGTGTCCGTTATGGCGGCGGTGGTGCTTCTTGGATCGGCGGTGGCTGGAGGGGTCTTCCATGGTGGCGTCTGCGGCGGAGAAAGATGAGTTATGTGCCGTGCATGAAACACAGAGAGAGGACTCAACAATGTCTTGTTTGGTCAGACATTGGAAATATTTTGTGACTTCACAAGGAACGGGGCAATGCTATATATACACTACACTCCAAGGGCAAACATGTTATTCTTCAAGACATTCAGATTTCAGATATCAACTTTGATCTTTTTATCAAGGGCATTATTTTAATATATTTTTTACTAGAATCATATGTCTGTTTTATGAAAGATATTTAATTTGAATCGGATAAGATTATTATAAACAACAAATATATACCAACCTTACTTGTATATTAAAATTTAATATACTAAGGTGCAGTATTAATATGTTAAAATAATTTTACAATAATAAATTGACAATTTTAATACTGCTTTAATGTAACATTTTGTCAATCTGTAAGTTTCACAAATTATAATCTTTGTCCAAGGACATTAGTGTTGATATTCTTGTAATTTTATTTTAATTTTGAGAAAGTATTCTTGTTTGGAATATTATTATTTGAATATTAGAGAGACATAATAACATAATTACAATATATCGCATTTAACTGAATTTGGATATGGAACAGTATGAGCCCCCTTTAGCAATTTGGATATATTGGAGAAAATCAGACATTGGCACGTGCAGTGATACTGTTTCATAAGATGAGCTGACGCGAGTATCTATGGGCGCGTGCAACACCACTTTAGAGAATGAAATAAAGTAAGGAAGGTAAAGAAAGATAGATCTGGGAGGAAAAAGTCAAAAAAGTTCAATACAATACTATTTATTTCAGGCCCACTTTACTAAATGTTTTATACTTTTTCAAATTTCAATCCGGTATTCAATTTAATTCATAATTTATTACACAATCAAATATCTAAAGAAAAATATAACAGTAAAAAAAATTATTTGTATTCTTTAAAAATAGTTATCATAAAAATCAATAATTTAGTGTAATTATTCATCTAAAACTACAAAAATTTAAATTTCTTGATCATTATTCATGCATTTAGTTCTAATATCTCTACTCAATTACAATAAAGTTGTTGTTTTTTATATTGGTAAGATATATATTTTATTATCATATTTCTATATTATATTATAATTTTATTTTACTACTCAATTTTATTAAAACGGTAATCTTTATCATATTTATTTCTTAACCTCATTCTAATCAACATCATTTTAATCTATTAATATTATTGACATTATATTATATATTATTTTTATTATTGTTACTATTATTATTATTATTATTATTATTATTATTATTATGATAATCACTATTACAAATATATTTTATTATATTATTATCATTTTTATTAAAATTTGTGTTAATATTTTTATTGTTATGATTATTGTGATCTTATTTATCGCAAAATTAATTCCATAATAATAATAATTATTACTATTATTATTAGTGTCATGATTATCTCATATATCATTATCATAATATTTTATTAATATTTGATCATTTTTATACCTTTAGATAAAGTCAATACTTATTGTTATACAAAACTATACATAATATATCTTATTAGAAATTTAAATAAAATATATATATATATATATGTAATTTTTAAAAATATATATTTATTAATTCGATTTGAAAAATATTTTAAATAATAAATAAGAATTTTGGGTAAAGAATAATGTTCATTTAATTTTTAGATTAAAAGAAAAATATTGATTTAAACAATTTAAATGTTAAAAATTGAGTAATATAAATAAAAAAAATAGAATGAAATTATAAATAATAATGTTTGATTACTTCTGTTTATATATCACTATCATAAAAAACTGTAGTGGGTGCTCATAAAAATTTAGAAATAAATATATTCGTAATCCATTAAAAAAAAAGGAGCGTGAACAGATGAAAAGTTGCACGCGGCAAGGTGGGAGTGGGGAAAGCATTGGGTGGAAAATATCTGGAGAGGTTGGATGCGAAAAGTGAAAAGTGAAAAGTGCAATGCCACGTGGATTAAAAGAACCATGCTTCTTGCCTCCGTGGATGGGAAAGTGCATAAAATATCTTATTTCATGTCTCACGCGCCACACAACTAATAGATACACCAAAATATCTTGCACGCCTTTTTGGCCTGAGAAAAAGGGAAAAAGAAATTCCAACGAACTAGCACGATCGAAGGGGAATATATGCCTTCAAACGGAAAAGGCGAGAAGGGAACAAATTTGGTCCCAACAAAGAATAGAACAGAACAGAAGCTTACCAGTTATGGAGATACATCATGTTGTCAATCATGCATACCACAGTTGATTCACTCAGATTAACTTCATCAACTATACATTCAATCTCAACTAAAATATCTTGGATCACTTTTTCATAATATCTTTTTTTCTTTTTATTTTTCAATGTTTTTTCTAATTCTGCTACACTTTTTATTATTATTATTATTATTATTATTATTTGTTATATTATGTCATGATAACAGTTTTTGAACTTCGACTGAGAGAATATAGATTTTGATATTTGTAATATTTCATATTATTGTATGCGCATCCAAAAAGGACTTACAAACATTGTTTGAACTTATTCCTTTTTTTCTCTTAATGTTTTCTCTCTTTCTAACTTTTTTACATGTTTCTTCCATTTTTTTCATACTGTAAAAAGAAAAATTACAAAAAATTATAAGTGTAGACCTGTGTTTTTTATTACAAAGTTATCACTTTATTTTCAAGTTATATTATACTTTTAATGATTTGTATAAAAAGTAGAGAAAACGAGAAAAGAACATTAGTTTTGGCACATAAAAACGTAAATTTTAAAAAATAAATAAAAACACAAATTAACAGAGCCTAAATTAGCATCTCTTAACAAATTCCATAGAATTATATTCATATAGTGCTAAATTGTTGATTTATAACTGCAATAACCTATTCGTGTACCAATATATAAACGGGGAGAAAAATCAAGATAAAATGAATGAAGATAATTAATAAGGCAAGGAAAAGGGAATGAAAATATTAGATCAATGTGTTGAATGTAAAAACTGTGTTTCCCATTCAGGCTGTTTGTTAGCATTGTATCTTAACACAACCTGTGAAAACCCTGTTCAAGGGCCCCTTTAGTACACTATAGGCATAACACATGATCAGTAGTATGGTACAGATTATTCAACTAGCATTGGTGGAACACAACACAGCCACAAGTAGGTCAGTAAATTCGATTCTTGTATGTTTATTTTTAAGGGTCCAGTGTTCTTCTATTCGTATCAGTAATTGAAAATTACAACACATTGTATTGTTTTAATTTTACATGATGAACATAAAGAATTTGACATTTTTTATACATTATTAAGAACATCATGAAATTTGTAGATTCAAAACATTGCCATAAACCGATGCTTATAAGGTTAAAGCAACTATTCAGTGGATTTTCTCTTTCTTCCCAGAACAGCAGCTATCTGAAATCTGGGCCCCCCCATTCGCCACTTCTTGAAGGATGCCATTGCGGATTGAGCTGTTTCATACACTACATAAAAGATATATAACACAATTAAATTGGGCATCTCAAGAGGGAATGGGGTGTGACTACATAAATGTTTCATTTAGAAGGATATCGTCTCACAGTTGATCTCTTCTTTTGTCAGAATAGTCCAAAATTTGGAACCTGCAGCAAATGCTACAGAATGTGCCTTGGTGAGAATTTCCTTGTACCTACTCTTAAATGCAGACAACAATAGAAAGCCAATGGTTCGGTCGCCAACTCTGCCATAAATGAAAAATAAATCAACAATGTACACAGAACATGTTGCCAATGTTGAGAAATAAAAGTCATGTAATTTGTGCTAATATAGATCCTCCCCAGCAAAATATCAAGACTACATATTATATTATCTCTCCTGATTGATTACTGAGTTATGATGAATTAAGGGCTGAGATGTTGCAGGACCAAATCCAATTTTTGAACATTTGGTTATCTTGCATTTATTAGGTTGACTGAACTTAAAATAGATTTGTGATAATTAATAATTGAATGGGATGCTGCATGAACCATGTAACAACAAAAGCTTCAGAATCCTAGATCTATTCTAGATATGACTCATGGCAGCCATATACTATCTTCCTAGACAACCATAAAAGTAATCAACAAAAAAATTGAACCAAAACAGAAATAAAGAGCTATTTCAGATAATGCAGGAACCAAAATAAGCATGAGAAAGACTTACATAGGCGCTATCTTGCAACCAAAATCATAAAAGAATGGACATCTAGACCGCAGATCCACACCTGCCGAATCAGCTTGGATCTCTAGCCTTGTTCTGAAGTCAAGAATCATCAACTATAAGATAAAAAATTGACATTTTCAAGACATCAAAATTTCACTAGTACAGTTAGATATAAATAATAATGCAACTTCGCATACATATTCCAATATTAGTTTTTAACTATTTCTATGAAAGCCATGTAAATTGATAATTGAATTTGTTGTCACCCAATGTTTGCATGCACTTAATATTAAAACCTATATGAGAATTAAGGGTAAGAAAAATAATTGGCTACAAAATCCATTTAAAGCCCATGAGGCAAGAGTTTAACAGGAAAGGTCTGCCAAAACATTTCAGGCGCAACAGAAATTGAAGTATACTTAAAAAGTGCTTCTTAAGTCGTCAGTGTCATGACATGCTCCATTATATGATAAAAAGTACTCATAAGTAGCAAAAAGACAAAAAATAACCACTACTTTTGATCAAAACAAGAGGGAACATTGACTGATACTGCCTGTCTCAGCTGTAACTCGTGAGCTAGCCAAAAAGGCAGTTCAACTTTTGAACCTGTTTCAATCTGAAAACCAAACAATGTAATGTCAGGTCAAATTACTAAGCTCAAAAGAGCAAGCATCTAGTTCTATTGCAAAAATTCTTTCCTTTGGAAATCTAAAAAAAGAGTGTAAATGGCTCTTACAAAGTCCATTTCAGAACTGGGATCTATTCCCACTCCAGATGCAGCCTTCTGAAATATAACTGACACAGTCTGTGACCAGAACATATCAAACTGTAGTATTAGGGTAAGAAATTCTGGTTGCACTATGTATCTAAACTGTAAAGATGATAAGTTGATAATTGATAATGTTAAAATTAGCAAAGCATAAAACATCATGCGCAACAGAATCCTAAGAATAACTACTGTAGCAAAACATTTCCCTTAATTATTAAAAAAAAAAAATGTTCCAAAACTACCAGTCCCTTGCATGCCAATTGGAAGCTCAATTAAATAAAAATAAAAATGAAACGTCTAAAGCCCACCTCTTCCTCCATAATAATATCATCAATATCATAGTACTTAGCCATCCTATCCTTTTGCCTGCTGCTTCTGTACTTTCTTTTTAACTCATCGAATGAGTAAACTGCAAATTCAAAATCTGTTTGAAACATAACATTCATTAAAAAAAATTGATGAGGAGATATAAAGTTATTCCTAAAGAGAAACTCTAACTTTCTCATTATTCATTTTCTTATAATCTAATGGTTTTAACAAATTACTAATCTTAACCACTTGATGCTATGAAAATAACTATGAGAATGAAGAGTATCTCTTTTAAAGCTACGCTTAAGATTGACTTCATCCCTCCTATTCTTGAATTAATCATAAAGACAACAAAATCAATCAGCAAAGAAAATCAGAATCTGTTGTCCAAAAGAAGTTCACTCACTAGTTCTAATGTTCTATATAAAAGAAATATCAATATAAAACACGGCAACTGCATCTGGAGTTGCACTTCCATTAAAAAGAAATTCCTAACCACAAAACATTGAAATGTGCGTATCATATAGAAAGGGTAGAATAACAACTTTCAAAAAATAATAAAACATGAATCAACAGTAGAGGAAGCAGGGGAGAGGTGAATAGAGCAAAGCTAAACTTAACTCCTACTTGAAAGTGGAAATGTGTTGCTACAAGTGGTGGAACTCATCAGTATGAAACAGAAGAAACTTGAGCAAAAAGATCCTTCTTTTTAATGAGTCATCAATATGAAAACAACCCAATTCTCAGGCTAATTACACGAGTCAAGGCCGAAAATCATATGAAGCCATAAATCATAAAAAATCTCACAATGTCGTGGAATAATGCCTACACCATTGCTAATGAATTTAGATTTTATATTACTTAAATGACAGTTCCTGTTATCAAAAGTCGAAATTATGAACTCGACCTCAGAAGAAGAAAAAAATGGGGTGAGGGGGCAGAGCTGCTTGTGGTTGTACACGGTGTCCCAGACTGATGAGGCTGGAAATTCTTAAATTACAAGCAGGCAGGGGATGACCGTCCCAAATTTCAGAAATCACAATAACCAACATGAAAAAAAGTCAAGCTTTAACCTTCCCTCGTACATTCAGATGTAGTTGTACAAAATTTCAGAACATAGAGATGATAAGCAGAGGATGTTAGAATTAATAAGATTTGAATCTTTGGGAAATACTTGAACACAATCTTAATAAGAAGATATTGGCCCGGTTATGCATTAAATCTCAAAGAATGAAATGCACCTGAGCTATGCCGGAGTAAATCGTGCCGCCGAAAGGGACTAACAGAGTGAACAGCGAATAGAGTTATTGGGGAGTGCGGGTTAGGGTTATTCAGAGAGTGAGTGGGGTAAGAAATTGGAGATCGACGTAGCGAAATCAAAATGAAAGAAGGAAGTAGCGAAGTGATTAAGATGAAAATGAAAAAGGGAAGGTGTTTGATTTTGGGGAAGAAAACTAGGGTTAGTTTTCCTTGGAAATTTTGTGATTTTGAAACTTGGCGCGTTTTCGAAATTTCAGTTTTAGTGATGGCGCGTTTGAAATTTGTCGTGTACGATAAAAGGCCAACATAATATTTTTATTTTATGATAATGCTGTGTAAAATATTTTTATATTTTCTTTTAGTTTTAAATAGAACTTTTAAAGTAATTGCAAAATTTATAAAACAAATGTTATTTACTAATACATTTCATGTTTAATAATACATTTGGTCGCCATTAGTGTATTTGCAGTGTTGAAGGGTTTATTTTTTCTTATAAATTCAACTTAAATAAGTTTTAATTTCTTCTTATAAAATTATTTTCACTATTTTTATCATTATAAATTCTTATTTATTTTTTATCTAACTAAACCCTATACCTTGGTTATAAACTAATTTATTTCGTTATATTTAAAGTGAAATGTAACAGTTGAAACCCAAATTCTTATAACTAAATTATTAGCCATAATATACATTAACTAAATAACACAATAAACACTGTTTTCTTCACATAACATACATTACTTTTTCACACCCTGATAATAAAAGTCACTTTCAATACTACATACATGGTTTTAATAAGTTTTATTATAAAAAAATTAAGAGAGAAATAAAAAAAACATATTTTTTATAAATTAAAATACACAAATTAATTTATTGAAACTCTATTATACATTTTTTCTATTTTTTTTATTAAAATGTGAGGTATTTTTATTTATTAGTATATTTTTTTAGAGATAATTACATATACATCATCCACATATTTAAAATGATCACAACATAAAAACAAATATTTGTGATTACAAGAAAAACAAAGTTTTTAATTTCCCCTAAATTCATAAATAACTAAGTCAATGCAACGTATCTATTGCGAACAAAATTACAACTTTTAGCTAATGCTCATGGAAATTAAATTAAAAATATGTTTAGGACAAGTTGTTAAAAATAATCATATGTTTCAAAATATAACTCAATAATTAGGAATAGTAGTTAGGCATTAATTACTCATATTTAACGAGAATCAGTGTTTGATTTTTATTGTATGAGTACTTATTAATCAGCAATAACTACACACTGATATTAGAAGAGTTAATGTTTTTTACTCAATGAACTTAGAAAAAATTATACCATGAGAGTGATTAGTTTCTGACTTGAAAATTTTCATAACAGGATTAAAAAATTCATATATTCAATAAGAGAAATTAAATACTTTATTTTAGAACTCTTTATAAATACTAAAAAGTAAATACGATTTGAATAGATCAAATACAAATTCTAAAAGTAATTTATTTCACATTAAAATCTATATTTCGCATATTTGACATTAAGAACGAATTTTTATATAGAGTGTGTTTCTAAATAGACTCGTGAATTATTAATAATAATAAAATAAACGATTGACATGACGAAGAAGGTGAATATATTACTAATTAATTTTTTAAAATGTCTATTAAGTTTTATATATAAATCAATTAATGTAATAATTTATTTTTATTTTTCACAGAATAGTTTTAGAAATTTATGTTTGAATCTTTTTCATTTTTATGTTACAATAAATGCATAAAATTTGGAAATGTACAAATTAAATAAAAATACAAATGCAATTAAAATATTGAATATATATATATATAATAACATTTTAATCACTGAAGAACAAAAAATGTAATTTAGCATCTAAATACATAAAAATTGCAAAATGGTGTCCTGCTGTATAATTCAATCATTTAATGACAAAGGTCACAAAAGTTTACAATTTAATGTTAAAATGATTCAAAACGTGATATTTTAACAAAAACAATTTCCCAAAATTCAATAATGAAAAAACACATTTGTGATGGAAAGAAAATATCATTTACCCGCGAAAATGAGGTTCATTTTAAAATTCTAGACACTTGAAAGTAGAGAGAGGGGGTAAGATGTCAGGGTTTGTAAGAACAGGGAGACAAAGGGTGATGTGCAGCACAAACGATGTGGCGAAGACACCGAGGTATATAACCATGATTGAGATGTGTTGAGTGTGTTTGGTTTAGTTTAAAAGAGTCTAGGCCAAGCTATTTATTGTAACACTATTGTAGCCCCTTCATGCAGGTAATAATAGCCGTCACAGTTTCCAAATGGTGCAGCCTCTGTTAGATGACATATGGCATAGGCTCAATATTTCAAGCACTTGCCTCAACAACTTCACATTTATCAAAACAAAAGCTTCTGCTATTTCACTTTTGACAGATATTATTGTTATTTACAAAAACATAAGTGAATATCTATTATTAAATATATCAACAAATGTCTAATCTAGTTTTATCATCTTTAACAATATTTGTGCAATGTATCAAACTTTCTAGTTATTGTAAAAGTTGAAGTCAAGTTTTCGTATGGTCAACTATAAGTGGCTATTTTTGGAGTCCATCTTGGAGAACAGAAAACGGTCACGTCGAATGTCTAAACTCTAATATTATTTTTTCTGTCTTATATACTTAGTACGTAAGACCAACCTTGGCATAAGACAGTCTAAATTCTTACTTTAAGGCTCTTAATTTTTATCATTAAGGTTATGTTTTGAAATAATGAATTGTGTCTCATTCATTATAAATTCATATTGATAAAAAAAAAAAATCTTAGGAGTTGGATAGCATTATATCAAACCAATGAAATTGCAGATAGATACGGAAGAACGGATCTATTCTATTCAGCAAATTTCATAAACCATCGTTAAATAACATAGACTATCGAAAGTACAGAGAAATATTACCACCAAATAAAAATCACCATGTCTAAGAGAAACTTAAATAATATATTAAACTGCTAAATCCTGTGGGATTTGGCAGAGAGGTTCACTCCTGAATGCGGACCAAAGCAAATACTTATAATTAAAGTTGATCAGCTAACAACCTAATCCCACTGAATCTCTCTGTAAAAAGTCCACTCAGAAGGATTCAAAGTAGTTTTGCCATCAGCAGCAACCAGATCATATGGTGAGTCTTCCGCAAATTCAGTGGGTAAGGATTTCCAGTGGAGGCTTGGCTCCCAGTCGGCCTCCTTAAGCACGCTCAGTATCTCCTTCACCACGATTTTGCTTCCCTCGGCTGCTAAATGGATACCATCACTGCAAAATTCATTGAAGATGTCAACAAATTATAGATATTGTATAGGTAAACTTGTCAGATGACACCATTCTCATTTACATGATATGACTGACAAGGGTAAAAGAAGGCTGTTCTAGTATATTTGACAAGAAATCAGAATAAGCAACAATTTCAATCATAAGAAGAGAGAAATATTAGATGAACTTTGGTTTTAGCATCCGGTGTGACTTTATTGTTCACTGAGTGTTATTCTCTTACACATATTGATTTACTTAGAGGACATGTAATCTCCAATTTTCAAGATTGATATCACTTATTATCTATTAGGATCAAAAACCAAATAAATGCCATCCCAATCTTTCAAGGATCAACAGTTGAGATTTTATGGACATGAAAACCAGTGAATTGAAGAGGAAATGTTACAACTAAGAAACTAGTGAAAAATGCAAGTCTAAATAAACCAAAACATTGCATCAGTCAATTTGCTTTTAAGAAGGAGGATTGCAGGCCTATACCATCTTGCAAAGAAAGCATGCACAAGATACTGTCAAAGAGCAACAGAAGGAGTTGGGTATTAAACAATTAGATTGATATAAGACACCATTCTGAAATTTCATGGTATTTGAGAAAAAAAATGATAAATCCAAGAGGTAATGAAGCTTACGTAAAACAAGCATTCATCCAGTCATCTTTCTTCTGTAATGCAGTAAAAAGATCAATAACTTTGACATCCAGTTCCTTGCATAGCTTAATACAAGCTTCTGAGTAGCTTTGGCACAATTCATTCGTTCTTACCAGCTCACTAAAAACTCCACTGATCAAGGGGGATAAAAAGCATAAGATTAGGAACTTAGTGTGTTATCTGTGAACATAAGTACACCATAGAATTGAAAATGTGAAAGAAAAAAATATCTTCAGGCTACCTAGTGTTTCCACGCACTTTTTCCTCGTTGACAGGAGGACAGCTGAGAACAATGATACGTATCTTTTCACAGAGACCCTGCAGTTAATATTCTCACATTAAGTTACAAATAATAGTTTCACTTTCAAAAATTCATGTATGATCATCATAGTAGTCAAGATGATCGAATGTAAGATCTAATTTTCTTCAACATAGAAGTTACAATCAGCTGCGTTCCTGCATAACTGCAAATCATTTTTAGTTTTTCTTGGATATCTTTTTTTTCGCTGTTTTCTCTTTTTATATTTCCCTGATTCGTTTGGCTTTGTAATGCGTGGAGAAGACATTAAATGAAATAGAACAATAAGCACTTCTCGTTCAAAGGGTGCCACTGTCATCCACAGACTATATTTTCTTGACACCTCCACATCTCAGTCAAACTAGTTTTCAAAATTGAATACACATTTGATTTATTATTTATGAAAATGAGAAATGTGTGAGAAACATCTCTGGCGAAACAAGGATAGGCAAGATATACAACAATGTGATGGCTGGTTTAGAATGCATTACATTATGTTTGTCAACAAAAGATCCTTCCAAAATCAATTGTGTTTCCTAAACCTTGATATTTTAAAGAAATGGTTTAGCTTCCAAAAGTAACAAAACCAAATGTTTAGTGCACTCTGTGTCCGGAAGCGAACATATCAGTCTCTAGTGAAAGGCAATGTGCACTTACAGAGAAAGAACCAGGTGATTAACATAACAGAAATACCTGAATATGAATCAGAATCTTTCTCATGTTTTCAATATACTCTTCCAGAGGCACATGAGGGCCTAGGCCAGACGAATGAGGACCCATGGAATCATTACCACCAAAATAGACTATCACAAGAGAAGGATGGGTTGAAGCATCCTGGGAAGTCAGATAAAGAAAATTATATAATGTAGGAAAGACAATAAGCTACATCAAACCATCAAAGGAATTATTTCAGAATGAATTGAAAGAAGCATAAAGTTAGTGGCATATCCCACTTGGAAATCAAAATACATGAAGAACCAGAAAAGGATCATATATTATTTCAAGAAACTGTGTAATTTGATCCATAAATCATTTTAAACTACAGCATACAAATGTCAAACAACATTTCAAGTGAAGAATAGCAACATCAAAAGCTTAATTTTGTTTGAGTTATGTTATGTGCATGGTTGCTTTTGAGGTACCTTTGGGAAAACTTCATTCAGGACTTGGAGGGCACGTCTAGAGTTCCATCCGTAGTATCCTCGCAACATTATGTCAGCCTTCAACAAGAAATTTAGTAACACAATAGCTTAAAAGATGGACATTCTCCTCAATATTTCATTAAAAAAAGGAAAAATAGAAGAGAAAAAAAGTTCAGGATGTGGACACACTCCCAAAGAAGATATTGCATGCCTACTTAGATTTCATCCTTAAACACTTATGAAATGTAAATGCCCTGTATACAGTCTTTGCACAGGTTTCTACTTGTAATCATCCAGAGCATCTTTTAGGAGACCATTAAGAAGGGAAAATACAAAATTTGAAGGCATGACCAGGACAAACACATAGCAGCAACCAAGGAAGTCAGCCAAAAAGAATTTACAAATTAAAGTAAGTGAATAACTTGAAATTTCTTCTTCCAAATTTCGTGAATAAATTCATTAGGCTCAATTGTGGTAAACTTTCATAAGTCAATCTAAATCAAACTTCTCTCACAAGTTATGTATTTTCTTTTCCTATGAGTTCATGTGAAGAACATTGCCCAAATTGCCTCTAAATGAGAGAATACTTAGTAGTATATAATGGCAATACTTCCAGAGAACTCAAACATGATGCCACACTTGAGTCAATTATAACTGATGTACGAAATAAATTCATTCAAATCCACTTCTATGTTTTTTGAACATTATACACAATGAGACAAAAGTCAAAGATAGATTTGAGTTACTTTTTTTTCTTGGAGAAAACTATGGGTTGATTTGGTCCCTTTAAGATAAGTAAACAATTGTAATCCTTTAGAACCAATGATATCAATTAAGTTCCAGAACATCAGAAAAATGACAAAGATTTAATCCCTCAATCTCGTCATAATTTGTGTAAAGAAGGATTATTTTAATGTAACTTTTCATTGTTGAGGGACTAAATCAACATCTCATAATCAATCAAAAAGCCCAAGCTTTAATTTGATTTTTTTTTTTTTTTTTTTTTACTTTGACTGGACATCCCACAGACAGTGGTGAAACTACCCTTCTATGGGGCGTGATTAGGGAAAACTCCCCCCATAACGGTACCTTCAAATTCCTGTGGCAGTCGCGGTTTTGTACCGTTTCTTGGTATTGCAGGAAATTGCAGAGAAATGCAGCCACAATTGTGATGACAGATACCCAAAAAAACTTTAAAAAGTTGAGGCCAAAATTCCAGTGGCAGAATACTTTTCAAAACCTTGCTTCCCATTCAGATGGAAAGAGTATTATAGAGACCTCGAATCACGTACGAGTGATGGGAATTCACACAAAAAATGAAACAAAGTTTTAAAAATTGAAGAATTGGTAAGCACCCCTCTAGCAAAACTGAAAAAAGGGCGGTGAGTTTGTTGAGAAAAACACATGACGTGACGTTATCATATATGTGATGCAAGAATGCATGACATGATGCTGTAATTGTAATTGTACTGGAGAGCAAAAATGGAAGAAACCAGTGATGAGGGGTGAGAGAAAAGACAAAAAATCAATATAGTTAAAAGTTGTAAGGCATAATTGAATGAGGATGGGGAGTGAATCCGTGGTACCTTGCGAGAGTAGATGTCAGAAAGATGGGCACCCCAACCGCCATGGCCGAAACTGAGCTGAACGATGGAGGATCCGAAGAGAACAAACTGAGGTCTCGCAGGTGCAACCATGTCTGTGACGCTGAGATTAATAATGAGAAAAACCAAGGGAAGAAGCATATGTATATATATTATGTGCTCGTGGATGGTCAAGGAAGACTAATTATTTGTGATATTCTAAACTAAAAAAAGTATGTTGACATCGAGAACAACCAGGTTGATATTTTTAATAAGTTCTCTGATCTTAATTTTATTATCCACTGTACAATAAAATTATTAGTTTTAATTTTATATATATATATATATATAGTTTATTTTATCTTAGTTATTTATCATTTATTGTCTAATTAACAAATATTTTACACTTTATTTTTTAAGGAGTGAAATTCAAATTATAAACTATTAGAAGAATTTGGTAATACCTCGATAGACTGAAATAGCAGAATGTCTTAAGGACCATCAATCTGAGATGATTTTGATTTATCCTCCATTATAGCTATCCGTGTCACGAAGTGTTGATTGGTTTACATTTCTTTCATAGGACATCAAAAAGGAAACGAAGTAATCTTAATTTTCTTTTTCACATATATGATTGTATAGTCATTCACTACCACGTAATAATAGAGAATAAAAATCAAGAGACTCTAAAATCTTTTTAATATACCACTCTTTCATTTGAGAATAAATCGAATAGCAATGATATGACAGATCTATTATTTTAAACGATAAATTTTTAATATAAAAAACAATTCAAATTAATGTTTTTTATTGAAACTATATGTTATAAAACCTATAAAAATATAAGAAATAAGGTAATTTAAGTTATACAAGATTATTATAAATTAACTGTCCATTATAATACGAATTTGATCATGCTATGTACAAATAAATAAATATATATATATATATATATATATATATATATATATATATATATATATATACTTTATTTGTAAACAATAATGTAATATACTTTTATGCATATTTAATAATATATAATATTAAATTAAAATATTTAAAAATATACTATTGATGCTTAAAATTAAATAAAGAAGTATAATTTGGACACATTTTATTGTCATGTATAAGATCTCTTTTACACATATTATACAAACTCTTTTTAGTTTATTCTCCCTTTTACTAAAGAAATTGTTTAAGAGACATGATTTATTAGGTGTGTCACACTATCTAGCTACTTTTCCAATAATCAATGTATTCATAAAAATGTTTTTAATATTTAAAAATGAATAAAATATGTTTCTAAATTAATTATTACAAATAATAATTATATTATTATACATAAATAATCATACAATTATATGAATAACTTTAAAAAAAATTAATATATTTTGTTCACTGATTATTAAATTCACACATAACACAATTATGCCTCTAAAGTTTTAGAGTGATATAATAATATAAGAAGATTCAAACTCACTTGTAAATACGCCATTTAAATACCAACCTCTATTATTTAAATATTAAAACATTAATAATGAATATAATTTAAATTAAAAACCTTCAAAACTTAAGTGTATAAGATGATTTGTTTTAACAAGATAAATTTATTTAATAAATTTTATATTTTTTATAATTTAATTGTCATGAATTAGTTTTTAAATAATTATTAAAAAAATATTTTATATAATAATTTGATAATAATATTAAACTATTTAATATATATATATATATCGTATAAGACCTAAATTTAGTATTATTTGTTAATAAGTATCAATCATTTATATTAATATTATATTAATACTCATGAGTACTGGAAGAGGGATTTTGAGAAAATTATATTAATTAATATTAATATTATTATAAGTTAAACACATTGAAAATATTTTTAATTTTCATCCATCTATTAATTGAAATAGATTGAATCAGAGACATTAAAAATGTTTCTTAAAAATAAGTAAGTTATTTATAACATGTTAATAAATTTATTAATTTATATTATTAGAACTAGATATAATAAGTCTTTACAATGATTAAGAAATGTAAGGTTAAAATACTAAACATTAATTTTTTAATAAAATTAATAATTAGTAAATATTTCATATTTATATTTATAAAATATAGTCTTGAAAAACAAATATAATTACTATGAGTTTAAGCGTGTAAGAGATAGCAACGGAGATTTTAAATGCCCGGAACATATTTGTTGAAATGTGTAACTTTGTCATAATTGTAGCTATAAAGGAGAACCTACTCTTATGCCTTGGGTGTCTCTTTTATAGGACTGGTCATTCATTCATTTCTCCTTCCCCCACCTTAAGACTGCTGCAACCCTATTACCTGTCATCGCCATTCATCAATCGTTACAAAATCAAACCCTTCATTAACTTTCTTCCTTTTTACTTTCAGTTTTTGCATGTGACCTGCATTCATAAATTTTTTATTTTTTTATTATCTTAATATTTAATACTTCTGCTTCTGTGTTTGACTAGGACCTTTTTTCATTCATTAACTCTCCTCTGTTTTTTTTTTTTCTTAACTTTTTGTTTATTTGAGAGAATCTTTTGTTGCTTGATTTTGTGTATTCAATTTTTCAGTTTGTTCATTGATTTGATTCATTCAATTCATCTTTAAAACCAGATAACTCATGTTGGACTTTTAACAATCACATGTACCATTATTTGTTTTTCAGGACTATCTTGGTAGGGTTAATGAAAAATTAGTTATACATATATAGAGTATATTATAAACTTACATGTCTTTTTTTTCTCTTATATATATATAAAATTTATAATACAATTACATTTCTTAGTACTTATAACAAAATCTTAAACATTCTACAAAATGAAAGAGGGTAAAAAAAAAAAACAATTAGAAAAAAAAATAGTAGTGAAAGGTTGTAAGATAAAATATAAAGTTTATTAAATTATAAGCATTTTAAAAAATAATATTAGATAATTGATAAACATAGACATACGTAAATAAATTAATTTAAAAATACCTAAAACACTCTGTATAAATTTTATATTTAACAAAATTTAGTTTTATTTATTTATTATATATAAAACTAAGATTGTATTAATTGTTTTTAATTATATTTATTATATAAATAAAATAATTAATTATTGTCAGCAATTCAGTATAAAATATGAAAATTAATGTTTTTTTATATAGTAAAATATTAAATAGTAAAAATTTATTTTAAAAAAAAATAAAAATTAATTTAATAAATATTTTAAATATAAATTAGAGATTAGAATAAAAAAATAAAAAAGAGATTAAAAGAGCTATTATATTTTAGAAAAAAAATAAAATAAAAAATCATTTTTAAATAGGGACAATATAAAAGTTAACATACTAGATGTCACTGTCAAAAAAAGTTTAAGATTGAACCTTTTGAAAAAAAAATTATTCAGTAATCAATAATAAATAATCTTTTCAATACTATTAAAAATCTACAGTTAAAGTAAATTGATATGGTTAGGGGTTGAGAAGGGACAATTTTATTAATAAAAAATAAAAATAGATTTGTGGTGGTTCAATTTTAAACTCTTCACTGTAGAGTCATTAATATTATATAATTATAAATTGTTATTTATAATAAAGTTATTAACAAATCTAATAATTATTTAAAAATATATCTGAATCATTTTTTAATTATTTTAAAATATATAAAAAAGAATTTATTATAATGTAAATACTTTTACTTTTTTTAACCAACCATAAATTATTTGAAACCATTTTGTAAGTCATTCTTGTAAACTATGTAATTCATCCTATTTTAAAATAATAATAGTATAAAATTTTAGTACAAATTATCCTAAAAATTTGAAGTACGTGCTTATTTCTAACACCAGCAGTATTTTATTAAGTATACTTAAATATACAAGAGACTGTAAATCTATATAGAGACATAATTTCTATATTAAATTATTTATTTGATTTTTATATTTATATGATTCAATCAATTTTATTCTTATATTATAAAAGATTTTAATTAAATTAATTAATTTTAAAATTGACATTAATTTAGTCTAAAAATCACATAAATGTGTGAATATAAGATTAAATATATACTAATTTACAGGAAAAAATTTTAATTTAGATATTTATTTTTTAGACGGAAATAAAATTCTTCCTTCTTGTTAATGTTTATTAGACTTAATAAACCTCGTTGTTTAGCATGAGAAAAATACTTAGATCGTAATACTATAAATGGTGAAACATTTGAGAATTTTGGATTTTGTCTCATCTATCCACACATTTTAAAATACCCCGTCCATTAAAGTTCACTTTTAACTGAGAAAAATAAAATAGTTCACAATTGTTAAGTTTATGGACTAAAATTTGCTTCATATTTAAAGTCTTGAACTGAATTTTGAACACAAATAAAAAGTAAATTTTGAAGATGATGTAAAACTCACTTTTTAGACAAAAACAAAATAGTGCTAGGTGTATTTTTTATAATTTTCATGGTAAGAGTTTAAAACTAACTTTGTTTCCATTTACTAATTTTTTTCTGGATTCATTTAGACCTCCAAAAATTTTATCTCCGTCTCGTGTAAAAAAAAACATTTTAATAAATAGTTAATCATATAATTCATTAAGTCTTTTATTTGTGTATTTATATAATTTTTTCATTTTAATTCTATATATTTATATAATATATTGAATTTAATCCTAGGTTTTCAAGCCTTCATTGATAAGCAAGTATTGAATCTGTATATTAGAAAGATTGTAATGTGGATTGTGAATTGGAATGATTGAGTGAAGTATATATCAAATCAACTTAGTTTTTAACTGTTTTTGCTGATAAATAGGATTAGGCCTCCATCGAAAGTTGTTTACTTTATTTATTTTTTATCAATAAATATTATTAAATAGAAAACAGAAAAATGCTTTATATACAGTAAATAGGAGAATTGTATCATATATTATGATAGATCATTATTATTATTATCCATTATGATTATTACCGCCATCTCTGTAAATTACTCAAATTAGTCAACACTTGCTAATTTAAACAGGAACAGATGTAATTATTGACTATTTTCCGGATAAGTTAGTTTTTCTTATTTGACAGTTAAAAGTAGGTTCTATAACAGCTAAAAGAATGTTTAAGGTTGTTTAATTTGTTCATAGGAAATGTGATAGAAATAAGGAAACATTTGTAACTGGATTTCTACCTCATGACAAATAGCATCGATTCTCCAAAGAAATGGCACCCCCACAGAATGTAAACCCTACCATGAAACATGACACGGTTGTTTGTGTTCCATTCCTCCTATTTAGATGTTCATCAGTTCATCCCCTTATCATTAGATGATTGTTCCATGTTTCTAAAAACAAAGGAAAAACCGATTGATATCATCATATCACATCACATCAATCACCAGCATATATCATACACACATTGCAAGCTTAAGGGTTTACTTGTCAAAAGAAAGTAGCTATGGCTGAACAAGAAAATGCAGATCAATACTTAAAACGACGCGTAACTACAGGATGTTACAACGTAGATGTGTCAAATCCCAATGACATATGGAGAAGTGAAACTGTCCTGCTTTTTTACCTTCCTACCTTTGCAGCCCAAGTTGCTTTCATGTTGTTATCCACTCGTGTTTTGTACTATCTCCTCAAACCTTTAAACCAACCTCGTCTTGTTTCTGAGATTTTGGTAAGTGCATCTTCTATCCCTCTGCTTGTATAGGTGAATTTGAATTACTTTATACATATATAATTATGATGCTTTTAGCATTCATTTTATCTGATAATACACATTTAATAAAGGTTTGAATTAAATGTACGTTAACAGAAGTTATTGAGAATTCTAGTTAGTTTTATTCATACATGAAGGAAAAAAAATCCATGCATTTTTTTCAATCAGAATTGTAGTTTTATTTTGATAATCCATGTAAAGGTTGTCTTAAAGGAATGCGTCATAAGCTACTAAGATGAAACTTTACAAGAATTGTATGTAAGTTTTGTCCTAAATAAAGTGGAAAAATTTTTACATTGTGATTAATTTGTGGGTAATTATTGCTAACAGATGGGTATTCTGATAAGTCCAGAACTATTTGGATCATCAGCTTTATCTGAGGTTCTCACCCCTTTGAAGTCAATCCTAACAACTGAAACCATATCATACGTGGGACTCATTTACAGTGTGTTCCTGGCTGGCTTGGACATGAATTTTGATACAATCCTAGGAGCAAGAAAGAAGGCCACAAGAATTTCCATTGCCGGCGTTTTGATTCCAATGGTATTTGGAGGTTTAATATATGCTCTGGCTCTAAATATGTTCAAGGGACCTTCCGATTATTGGGCAAATTTCAACACGCCTAAGGCTTTTATGTTTTGGGCCTTAATTTTGAGTGTCACAGGTTTTCCTATGGTTAGTCACATCCTTGCAGATCTCAAGCTCCTCTATACAGGCCTTGGCAGAGTGGCCTTAACAACAGCCATGATCAGTGACTTCTATAATTGGGTCATGTTTGCACTGTTGGTTCCATTTGCCATAAATGGTGCAAGTGCCATCTACTCGGTGCTGAGCACCATAGTTTATGTGCTTTTCTGCTTCGTTGTTATACGTCCTTATTTGGTGGAGATAATAGTGCACAAAACCACTCAAAATGAGTGGGACAATAACGGATTGTTCTTTGTGGTCATGGGAGCATATGCTTCTGCACTGGTCACGGATCTCCTAGGGACACACCCTGTTGTTGGGGCTCTGGTGTATGGAATAATGATACCTCGTGGTAAATTTACTCACTTGCTCATTGAGAAGTCAGAGGATTTTGGAGTTGTTTATCTGGCTCCATTGTTCTTTGGTAGCTGTGGCATAAGACTCAGAGCAATATATGTCATAAAAACTCAAGGTTTGGGCCTGGTGCTGTTCATTTTGTTCCTATCATTCGTCCCAAAGATTTTAAGCACTGTAATAGCCACTCAGTTTTATGGTATGTCTGTTCTTGATGGTGTGTCTATTGGACTTCTCATGAACACCAAGGGTATCTTACCAATATTAATGCTCAACAATGCCTGGGACAAGCAGGTATCGAGTAATTTCATTACACTAGTCGTTTGCTTTCATGAATGGACATAGAATAAGCCTAATGAAGATTGAAAACAAATATTGAAGTAGATAAATATAAATAATTAGAAACAAAGCTCAACTGGAAGACAACAACACTCATTAATCGATGTTTCTGACTCAACCTACTTAAAATTGTTTTAGCATACTCCTTTTTAGTTGATAAATGACCATTATTTTTGTTTTGCTCTCAGATTTTGAGTGTCGAGTCCTTCTCAATTTTGACAATAGCTGTTCTAATAATGACCATGATGGCGCCTATTACCATCAATGCTATATACAAGCCAAGAAAGTTATACAAGCAAAATAAACTAAAGACCATTCAAAACATAAAGGCCGAAGCAGAGATGCGAATATTAGCTTGTGTCCACAACCCTCGGCAAGCCACAGGAATGATCAACATCCTTGAAGCATGCCACACCACAAAATTCTCCCCTCTACGCGTGTTTGCACTTCACCTTGTTGAACTAAGTGGAAACACCACTTCCCTTTTGGCTACCTATATCAATCAGCAAAGCCAACAGCAAAGTGGTGGTGCACTAGCCCCCACCAAAACGCAGCTAGACTTGGAGAGCATCACTAAAATTTTCCAAACATACACAGGTGTAATTGAGGACAATAACGTGGAGACCATTTCAGCTGCATCCACCTATTCAACCATTCATGAGGACATATACAACGTGTCACATGACAAACAAGCAAACCTGATTCTCCTTCCTTTCCACAAACAATCAAACATAGAAGGCATTCTAGAGATAGCCAACCCTGCATTCCAACAGATAAACCGCAATGTGATGAGAGATGCACCATGTTCTGTGGGAATCTTTGTTGACCGTGGACTTGGGTCATTGTTCAAAGTGAACTTACGTGTGGTTATGGTTTTTATTAGTGGTCCTGATGACCGTGAAGCATTGGCTGTTGCATGGAGGATGTCAAAGCATGAAGGGGTGCAACTATCTGTGGTGAGGATCCTCATGTTTGGTGAGGCTAGAGAAGTTGATGTTTTGTCCCGTGTCGAGTCTCGTGGACTATTATCTGCGGTAGTAGACAATGAGAAGCAAAAGGAGTTGGATGATGAGTATGTGAGTGCGTTCAGAATAAAAGCAGTGAGCAACGAGGATTCTATAAAGTATTCAGAGAAAGAAGTTCGTTGTCGTGATGATATTCCTGAAGTGCTTAATGAGATTGATCAATTTGGTTATGATTTGTATCTTATAGGACAAGGGGCAGGTAGGAGCTGTTTGATATTCTCAGAGTTGATGAAATGGACCGATTGTCCGGAACTTGGTGTCATAGGGGACATAGTGGCCTCAAATAATTTTGGTTCAAGCTCTTCACTGCTTGTTGTACAGCAATATGGGTTTGGGGGAATGGTGTTTGAGGACAGTAATACCACAGAGCATCCTGGGGAAGTAGTGCCTTCAAATAATGAAGATGACTCTGGGGCACTTGCTGTGAAGGTAGAATAGCATAAGTGATTGTTGTTTATTGGAATGTGACTTCATTGGGTATGACTTAGGCCAATGAGAAGAGAAACTGCTTCTAAATTTTGCCACACAAGCTGGGAATTGTTTGTTTAAGTAGGTAAAAAATTAGGTGGATTATTGACAAGGAATATAAAATCAACTTTCAAGAGATGTTATTTTGTACTTGGTCAACTTTTTTTTTTCTAACAAGATATAAGAGGAATGACTCGAATAATAAAAATTAATTTTATTATTCAAGTAATAACTCATAATAATTTATACCAAGAAAAAAAATTGAAATATGAGAAGTATAATTATTTTGAAATTGAACTTAATAAGTCGGTGGAGGAATTTTGTATATACAGTTTTCAAAGATTAAAAGAAGAGAAGTATAGTTAGTTTGAAATTGGACTTTGTAAGTCAGTAGAGTGATTTTTTATACACAGTTTACACATAATATATAAGTGTAGTTTATCATATTAATTAAGTGAGAAAATTTTAAATAGTTAAGAAAATGTGAAGACAAAAAAAGAAAAAGAAAATCTCACCGTTATAATAGTTTTTCTTTTTTTAGTGTAAATAAAAATAATTATATGTAAGGATTAGGGATAGAAAAGGCAGAGAATTTTTCTCTGGAAGAGAAACGTAAAACCTTCTTTTAGCTCATTTTCATGCTGTATTTATTATCTATTGGATGAAAAGTAAGTGAAAAAAAAATAGTTAAACATACCAAAATTGTACTCGCTAATAAAATTAATATAAATATGATTGTGAAATTCGGTTTGACAATTATCTGATTGATAGAGTAGATTAATGAATTAGACAGCGTACTGTTTAATCTGATTGAACCTTAAAATAAAACTCTACCAAATATAATTTTATAAAAATATTATTTTCAATTGAATAACACAATATACAAACAATAAAAATTAAGTTAATAAAATTGAATAATATTATTTGTTACTTGAAATATATGTAAGTAACTAATTTAGAAAATGAGACTCACATAAATTTCATGTTATACGACAGAATATATTAAAAGGATTATATTATTAGCATTTCGCTTTGATAAATTATCATATTTCACAAATGCTAAAAAGTTTACCGTCTTACGTCGATTGATTCAGTGTTTCAGTAACAATAGAGGTGTCATTTAAAAAGGCCATGGTTTTCATTTATTTAGGTAAGAAATAACAAAGGTCCTGCTAAAGCATTATGTAGAGTGCATAATGCTACCACGTTTTGAATAACAGATAATTTGTAGCATAAAAAAATTTGGCTTATGTTAAGATAAGTTTGAGGACGTTTTTTAAAGTAGGACGCGTATAAATTTAATTAAAGAAAATAAGTTTTTCTGTTTTTCATGTAAAAAAAAAAAAAAACAATTAAACAAAAGTGATGCTTTCGCATTTCTAACTAATACTGCTAAATATTTTGTAGAGAGCTGAATATCTTTGAGTATCCACAACACATGTATCTGAATATTTGCAGGTGCAAACAAAAGGAACGAAAGCAGGTAAAATACCCATTTGAAGGGATCCGAATACAACCATTGAAACTGATGTCAAAAGTAATCTATATATTTCTCATTTTCCCCATAAATTAATGGTGGTTTACAACAACATTCTGCGTCGCAAAATACATGAAGACAGTACAGCCTACAGACTAACACAGGCACGACTTGCTCCTTTACTTCCACCCTTTAACCTAAAAAGTGCATGTTTTTTTGAGATTCCAAACAAAAAACCAAACATACTAAAACCAATTCTTCAATCCGTGCTCAAAAAAAGTCACATATTGGGAAGGAATTTGTGATCACGGAGACAAAAAATACAAGAGCTTATTTCCCAAAAGAATAAATGTAGCAAGTAATGAGGCAGATTAATTCTTCTATAATGGTTGGTTAGACCAAGACAGCATTTCTTAGTTGTAAAAGCCACAAGGCCACTTGCATTCCCCAGAGTCGTACTTCTAGCAAAATCTTATCCAGTTTAACATTTAACCAAGTTAAAAGTGATTTGCTTTGCAACATCTTTGCCTCAATGACAGCCTCCGAAGAAACCTTTCCAATGATAAAAAATGTCTCCAAAGATGATCCCTGTAACTGATCACGATACCCAAAAAGAAAAAGAAATCTATTATAAACAGACGCAGCAAGTAGGACAATCTCAAGTTTCAAATGCTATTTTTACCTCTATGTACTGGATTGGATAGTTTACAATTACACACAAGCTACATTTGTTTGAATGGTATTCATTAATCAATCACATGGCATGCAATGTAGTAAATGGCAGACAGTTGTATTTACCAGACAATTATTGACCGCTCGTAAACAATCATTTGTCTTCATCATTAGAAGAATTACACGCGGTAATCTCCTTAGAAGCTCTGAGATTTGATGGAAATATTGAGAAGCATACATCTGCAAAACAATTAGGAGAGTCATTTTAGAGCTTTTTTTCCTCAAAGGGCACGCTAAGAAAGGAAATTTGACCATGCAAAACCATAAACCATAAAAGCAGACAGACTTTTTATTTCAATGTTTAGTAAAAAGTGAACCACGTTGTATTTGAACAATTTCTTAAGACAGTTGTTTAAACTGCATATCACAGAATTCAGGATACAACAGAGAAGAATTAAGAATTGGACCTATTTCGGTAAGAAAACCAGCATGAGCATGAGTATTATTCACAAAGTTATTAGAACACAGAAGTAAAGTGCAAGCATTAAATTCAAAAGAACATGAACCTGGGACTGAAAAACAAACTCTTGGGGATAATTTTCCGTTAAACTATATCTTACCTGTAGTTCTAATCGTTCACTCTCATTTCCCTGTATGACTAAATGATCCATAGATGGGTCAACAACCCTATTCCATGGCCTCATAGTCAAAACTCCAGCAAAGAGTGCATATAAATCCTCCCCGGCTCCCAACTTTGCACTGTATTCTTTGATTGCATTAGCATCAGCAAATACCAACCCCTTCCATAGTGAAGCATAATTAGTTCTTGTTTGGAAATCAAGCTCTTTATAGAGTCCATGGTCTAAAAGGATCAACTGGGGTTTTCTCCTGCCTATATGAGAAAAAATCGATATGAAAATTAATTTTTTTTAAAAATGATATAATCACATGAAGCCAACAATGCTGTTATTGTAAAAAATCAAACAAGAAGCTGGAGCCAGAGGACAGCAAACAAACCAAAATCTTTAATAGAACAACAGCATATATATTTATGGAGAGAGTAGGTATCTGCATTGGGATGGTTGATAATGTAAAGCATGAAAGCATCAAGGTACTTGCAAATTGAAATTGCATTTTTATCAATTTCGAAATTAGAAATGGTACTTAAATATTTTTGCCAACCAAACAATTGAAAAACAACATCTTTTGATAGAAATGACAAATTAAAATAAATAACCATTTTGCATTGTAATATCATCTTCAAATTCATATATCACATGCACCTCAACTTTCAATTTTAATCAAAGCAAACAGCATGGTTCCCAAATGTCTTTTGATAGAAATGAAAAATTAAAATCAATAACCATTTTGCAGTATTCATCCTTCTGCATTCACTTTATCTTCGTAAATGTTTCCGCAAATAACAGTGCAGAACTATTGATGCAGCCTGCTGAGTGCCATTTCTTGCACCTTCATTTGAATGCATAGCTGCTGAATGATATTTATTAGTCTAGTTTTCAATAGTTTACTAGTCTTCAAGTGGCATTTGTCAATGTCAACCATAGCTATTTATTTGTCCTTGGAAATTCCAAAAAAAAAAAAAAACTCAAATCAAACCAGTGGATTTGACAACATAATTCTAGAAAACAGATGTGAATTGTTCATCCCATATTGAATTAGTCTTCAAAATTTCTCTTGGAAAAGCCAAATTTAGTTGGTCCCAGATTTTGCCATTAATATCCAATTTTTAAGGGTGAGACTGTCTGAATAGATTATTTTTTTTCTTTCCAGTAGTAGCTAAATTAGCACAACAATAGTCTAAATGATACAAAAAGAAACAAATAAACAGAGCAATAATGACTGATAGAAAATAGTTCTAGTTTGGGCAAGGGAGGGGAAGGGAAGTAATCCTTACCCCAAATGCTAGTTTTACCGGAAGGCAAGGGGCGAACCAATAAGTTAGCAGCATGTGGATCACAATGCACAAACCCATGTTTGAACATCATTTCAGCAAAAGTTTGACTAACCTGCAAAATGTTGATCACATTTTACTAAATTACTTGATAAATGAAAGGGAACCTTGGCATAACATTTGAAATTATCACCATGTGACCAAGAAGTCACCGGTTTGAGTTGTCGAATCACCCTCTTGAAAATACAGAAGAAAAGGCTGACTAGCATACAGTTTAAACACACAAAGAGATCTGACAAATCTGAGTGCAGGAACTTTATGAGTTTATATTACCATGCTGCCCTTTATTTTGCTTATAAACTATCTATGGAATGGAACTAATTGGATGAGGGAATCAAAATGCTCATCATCAACTTGCCTAACTTCATTGACATATGTTGCCATACCAAAGATATATTGGCATATAATAATGTCATAAAAACCTACACACTATCAACACTTATTATTGACCATTGTACAAGTATGAACTTACCAATGTTGAAAGTTCATGCAGGTTGATCCCAAGTTTCTGAATGGTTTTTACATCATTTACATAAGCACCATCCATGAATTCCATTGTTAGCAGCTTCGAGGTACTCAGGTTCCAATATACTTTTGGTGCATATACATAATCTGCAATATGAGGAGACAACTTGTGGAAGTTATCTAAACACCTCTCACTGTTCTTTGCCTCAGTTAAAAAATCTAATTCCTGCAGTAATAATTTTAAGAAACTAGATCACAAATCACGTAGAAATCAGGGTAAACTTGAAGCCAAAACAAAACTGAATCTAAAATGATGTATGAGAAACATAAAATTCCAAAATGCAACATATTTCTAACAAATTTCCTAAGTAAACAGATATTAAT